GGAGTCGGGCCTGCGCCGAGCCCAGGGCGGGACAGAGCAGAAGAGCCCAGGGCCCGTGCAGAGCTAGAGGGGCCCCGGGCGCTCCTCGGGCCCCCCCCACCACCGGGCCCCTCACCTGGTCGGTACCTCTGCCTGTGACTCAGCGAAGCTCCTTCCTTTCCTCGGAGGCTGCCGTGGAGGGTCACCAGGCCCACTTCCAGGAGGCGGGATGGATGCCCCGACAGGCTCGGAGATGCCCCCGAGGTCTCGAGGCGGGACCTGTGACCCCACTGCACTCTGGAGCTGCTCCTACTGCACTTAAGCCCAGCCCAGCACTGGGAGCCGTTCTGGAAACAGGGACTGCCTGGCCCAAGTCCTGCCCGACCTGGCCCCCCACCCACCCCTGAGGGCCCCCCTTAGCTGGCAAACGCCTCGGGAGTGTCCCCTCCTTCCCGCTCCACCACAGGCGCCCTGAGAACATCCTCACAGAGAACAGAGGCAGAAGACGCCTAAAAAAGCCCAATACCCTGGTGAGAAGCTGCTATTAACCCCCCGGGAGGCTGGGAGAAGAAATAGCAGGGAGCCGCGCCAGCCAGGCCGCTCCGTGATGCAGAGAGCGAGGCGGGTGTCAGGTGGCGGGTGGGCGGGAGGCGGCTGGGCGTCCAGTGATTTCTGTCACAGACTCCACGTCTGGCGGCTACCGCTGAGTGAGCACCTGCTGAATGCTCGGGGCCTCTGCAGACACCGAAAACCTCGAGGCCAGAACCACGGGTTTGAAGCCCGAGGCACAGACGAGAAAATGAGGCCGGGCAGGGCAGTGGGCAAGGGGACACGGCCAAGGGCACGTGGCTGAGACATGCCCGGGCTGGAACCTGGAAACCACAGCTGTCTGATGCTCAAGTCTGAGAGAGAGAGACAGATGGGGGCTGGAGAGACAGAGACAGAGACAGAGACAGAGACAGAGCGGGGGAGGAATGGAGAAAAGGGGGAGCGCGCGTGTGCGAGAAGGCTCTCGAGGATGAGGACGGGCACTTCCTGTCCACCAGCAGCCACGGCAGCAGCATAAATGGACACTGGGTGCCGAGTGGCTCGGTGTGGCTGTAGGGAAGGGCGGAAGTGAGGTTGTGAGCGGGCCAGGCCTGCCTCTGAGGGCTCTGCTGCAGCTTGCACGGTGGAGTTGGGGTAGGAGCTTAAGGGGGCTCAGTCCCTGCCCCCACTGCTGTCCCCTTTGCAGTCTTGCTGCACCATCACTGTGCCTGGCTGCCATGGTGCTCCGCTCCCCCGCAGCTCACCCCAGGCCCTCCTGAGCAGCTGTGGAGCCAGGCAGTGCCCGGCACAGCTGGGCAGAGCCCGCCCTTCCTACCCAGCTCTGAGCCCGCCGCGCCCACCAGCCTGGGCCTTTCCCCAGAGTGAGGGGAAAAGTCTGAAGACCTGGGTCTTGGTCCCCACTCTGCCACTGGTGCGCTGTGTGGCCTTGGCCATATCCCTTTGCCTCACTGGGCTATATTTTCAAGATGGTTGAACATTTTCCAGATGCTTCTATTTCTGTGGTTTTCACACTGTCTTAGAACAGCCCCAGCTCCAAGAAAGCTCTTTGGCACTATTTGGAGAGAGCTGATTCTGGAGTGCAGAGTCTCCAATCCTGACTCCCATCCCTTCATTAAGCACCTGCCACGTGCCAAGCACTGGTTTGGAAGCCAGAAATATTAGATTCTTTAGTGAGCTCTAATCTTTGACAATTCTGGACTTTGGTTTCCTCATCTGTAAAATGGGTCCATGAGGATGGAGCCCCTCCCTCAGAATGAGGAAGAGGCACCAATAAGACCATTTAGGGGAATTCTGCACACAGGCAGGTCACTGCCAGGGTCCTCCTCCTGCTGCCAGACAGACATGGGCCCCAAGTCAGGCTCTGCCACTTACACCTGCAACCCCTGTGGGTGCCCTGACCCTGAGATAACCTGGCATAGGGTGGCACACTGTCTGCGTTAGCCACCCTCCCCCACCCTCCCCCACCTCCATGCATTCTTCACACCCCTCCCCTGGACAGGGGTTTGGTCCCTGTAGACCAACCAGGTCTTCCCCCTAGAAGGCCATTTCCTGAAGAGGCCCCTAGAAGAGGGGGTGACAGGAAGCTCTCTTCATGCCCATCCCTGCTCAGACACCTTCCACGGCTCCCTATTGTCCTATAAATGATCTGACTTCTCCCAGGCATTTCAGGCCCTTCAGAATTGGCCCTCTGTCCCTCTCTCCCATTACTCCCCTTCTCTGCCCCCTTCTCTAGACACATGCGTCCCAACATGCCCCTGGCCACAGCCCACCCCCGCTTCTTATGGAGGAGGGGGAGGAAGAGGGTAGTTCCAGGCAGAGGGACCAAAGTCTCCGTGGTGTGATGAGAAGGGTGGGGCCTGGCAGAGTCCCACCCCTGCGGTGACAGGCCAGTCCTGCACTCTGCTGAATGTGGCTGTCCCTCCCTGCCCCTCCTTCCCCGGTCCCACAACTGCCCCTGGTTTTTTCCACCCAGCTCCTCCAGAAATCCACTCATTTCTCCAGGCTTTCTCCAGGGGCCTGGGAGCGCTGGGCTTCACTGTTGATTTTTCACAAGTGATTATTGGTGGCAGAATTTGTCACCTGCACAATGAAAGGAAAATGAACCTTTCATCATAGCCAGCCCATGTACCCTGAGGAGGCTCCAAGAGCTGGTAGCAAGGAGTGAGGGGAGCAGGGAAGGGCAGGGGCAGGGAGCCACATCCACCCACTACCCAGTGCAAGGCCTGTTTCAAGCCCCTATCAGAGGAGGGGGAAACTGAGGCACAGAGAGCTTGAGAGAGTTGCCAAGTTTGCATAGCCCCTAAAGGGCCAGCTTAGCTGTGCCCACTTGGCACCCCATTAATGATGGCAAGGGTACCCTAAGGTTCAAGTCACAAAAACTGAAAGGCAAATGGTCAGGTCCAAGGCCTCCCCCACTTCATAGACAGGGAGACGGAGGCCCCAGAGGGGCAGCAGCTTGCCAAAAGACACACAGTGAGGCAAGGCAGGGCTGAGCCAGACCTGCAGGATCTGCTCCCAGGCTGAGCTCCTTCCTTGGCCCAAGGAAGCCCCAGGAGTGAGGTGGGTGGGGCCCAGGTCCCCTCCTCCCTGCTACCTCCCTCGCCCCCCAAATCATGGGCTCCATAGTCTCAGCTGATTGGATGGCTTTGTGACCCCTGCCCTCCCTGAGCCTCAGTCCCCACGCTGGAGATGGGCGCTGCACCAGCCGTTCCTGGGTCTGCTGTGAGGACACATGGCACAGAGGACGTGCCTGGCCGCCGCCCGCTGCTCCTCCGGGGCCGCCTCCAGTCTGAGGTTTCTGTCTCTCTCTCAGCCCCCACCCCAGGCGCCACTGTCTGTGTTTCACGCCTCCTCCGCCTCCACCTTGGCCGGCTTCCCTCCTCGCTGCAAGCCGGCCTGCTCCCTCCCTGGAGCTCCTGCCACGGCTCCCAGATCCGCACCCACCTTCCACCAGCCCCAAGCTACAGGGAGCCACGCAGAGCCGACCTGGGGCACCCTCCACCTCGTGGCCCCCAGCCAGACCCCAGCGCCCACCTCACCCTCTGCAGCCCCCTCCAGCCCCTCCAGCCCCCAGACCCCAACACCTGTCCAGGCCCTCAGACCTCTCGGCACCTCCAGCTCTCCAGCCTCAGCCCCTCACCCCCTCGAGCCCCTCCAGCCCTCTCCGGCCTCCTCCAGCCCCCTCAGCCCTCCCAGCAGCCCTCGAGCCCGTCTCCAGCCCCCTCCAGGCCCCCCCAGCCCGTGTCTCCGCCTCTCCAAGCCCCCTCACCCCGCTCCAGCCCCCTCCAGCCCCAGACCTAGACCTCCAGACCCCTCAGCCTCCTGTGGCCCCTCCAGCCCTGCACCCCTCCTCGCCGGCATCTTCTGGCCCTCCACAGCTCAGTTCCCCTCCAGCTCCTTCTGAGCCCCCACAGGCCCCTCCAGACCCCCAGCCCCCTCCAGTCTCAAAGCCCCCTCTGGCCCCCTCCAGCCCCTCTCAGGCCCCTCTAGTCCCCCTGATCCCCAGATGCCTCCAGGCCCCTCCAGCTCCCTCCAGTCCCGTCTAGCCCTCCCAATCCATCCTGCCCCTGCTCTCCCCATCTCCCCTAGTGCTTTTCTGCCTCACACCCCTGGCATCCTCAGGCTGTGTCAAACACAGCGTGCACCAGGGTGGTGGGTGGAGGGGTCCCGGCCTTACAGCATGGCTCACCCACTGCTCAAACCCACCTGCCCACCCGCACCTGCCCACTTCCACCTGGCCGCCAGGACCAGAGGCCGGAGAGTCAGGCTCAGATCCTGCACTGCAGCGGTGGCAGCCACCACCCCTCCCACTGCCCAGTCCCAGGGCCTGTAGCCCCCTCCCAATACTGAGTGACAGATACCCCCTGCACTGAGCGGGCTGGCCTGTGTCCCACCCACCACGCGTGCGCGCGCACACACACACACACACACACACACACACACACACTCACCCGGGAGCCCTGACCCCACCCCACAGCAATGCCACTGGCTGAGCGCCAGGTGCAGGCAGGGCAGCAGGCCGGGCCCTGGCCGAGTGCGCCCAGGAAGTCTGCACCGGAGCCCACCTCTGCTGCCCTGGCAGGCCGCCTGCCTGGCCTGGCCCACTGGGATCCTCGATCCTTGGGAACAAATTGTCCGTGGTCCTTGTCCTGGTGTCTGTGCTGGTGGCAAGACGAAGGGGACATTGAGACCACCAGGACCCCCTTCTCCAGGAGACTCCCACCCCTCAGCCTTCCGCGGAAGCCCAAATCCTCGGCACGGCCTCCAGAGTCCTCCTAGGCCGGCCCCCCTAGGGCCTCGTCTCCTCGCCCCACACCACCACACAGGTCCCCTCAGCCACGGGCACCGGCCCCGTCCACGCCCGCTCTCCCCCTGCTCCTTGGGCAGTGCAGCCTGGGCGGGATTCCCAGCTCTGCCACTTCTTAGCTCTGTGTCCTTGGGCAGGTGGCTCAGCCCCTATGAGTCTCAGTCCCCGTCCCCGACAGTAAAACAGGCTTGTCGCCGTCACCACACCCACCTGGCTGGTGGTTGGATTCCTTCACAGGAGGCCCTCAGGGCCGTGCCCAGCACCTCGTGAGCGCCCGCTCAGTGCGCCATCCACCCCTCGCCTCTCCCTGCCATGCCCTCTGCCAGGCGGCCCTGCCCATCCCTTCCCTGCCATTAACACCAGTCTCCCCATGGGGCCACTCCTCTGACAGTCCTGGCAGAGCAGGCCTCTCTCTGCTGGGCCTCCCTCAGCTCTGCCCCCATCACAGGGGCGGACTTGGCCTGGACCCGTCCGCATCCCCTCCCCACCCCACCAACCTTTGAGTGCCTTAAGTCCACCCACGCTGGCCTCCTCCTTGCCATCCTCAATCTTTCCCCCTGTGCCTGTCATTGCGCAGCTTCCTCTTTGCTGCAGCTCCCTCCTCAACCTTGGAAGCCACTTCCTCCAGGAAGCCCTCCCCAGATGCTCTGGGTGGTGAGGTACAGGCTTCAGACCCAGGAGGATCTGGGTTCTCTTCCTGCTGTGTGACCTCTACCTCTCTGAGCTTTAGTTCCTTATGATGAAATGAGTTAATAAACTCCTCTGCCAGGGCTCGTTGACTCAACAAGCCCCGAGGCACACAGGGCCATGGCTTCCTTCCTTTCCTCCTTGGCTGTGGCCCTCCTGGGGCAGGAATTCTGACATCTGCTAACCCGCAGTGCCCTGGGCACGGTGTTGAGCCCCTCCCATCCATCCTCTCCACTGTGCTCTCCAAACTCACTAGCCTCTCTGGGCTGGGGGCTCTTGCTTTCTTCACCGCTAAGACGGATGATCACACCCACCTGGGGCTGATGTGAGAATTAAGTGAGATCATGTGGGAAAGCACTTGGCCCAGCACCGGCTCAAGACCTGGCGGCCACATCATTCCTGCATTTATGATTGAGACCCGCCGTTGTTCTGCCCAGAGCAGCTCAGGCCGTGCACACGCTGGGCACCTCCCCAAGTCTCCCAGACCAGGCCCCCAGAGAAGGGTTGTCATGGAGCAGCCGGCCGGGCTGCAGCTGAAGCAAGTCCCCTCCTGACTGAGGCTGGACACGAGAGGCCAGCCCAGCCGGGGACCCAGGGTGCCTGCTGGCCCAGGGCCTCCTGCCTGCCCCCCTTCCTCCCCCAGCCAGGCCCCCGGTGGCCCTGGCAGCTGCTCTGTCCCCACCCCACACACTCCTCCTACCTTCTTCCTCTTATTTCTCTTTGGAATCACTTCTGCAAAAGTTCATTTTGAAAGAAATCGATTTCTAAGCTGCTTGGAGATGCAATTTGGTTTTTCATTTTGAAGAAATGATGGTTAAGGAAAAGTTTGGAGACTTAATCACCATGGAAGGCCATGGAAATAAAGAATTCCTCTGCCCTCGGCCAGACGCTGTGGCCTGTGTGCGTGCTCTTGCTGTGACAGCAGGAAACAGGCGTACACAGGGAGGCACAGCCGCACGACACACAAAGACACATGGCGTACAGCACACACATGTGCATATAAGACACACACGTACCGTTTACACCAAGACACACATACACATGTACTATACACACCAAGACACACATATACATACAGGTGTATGTGCAAACATATGCGCACACACAGGGCACAGTGGAGCACCCTGGACCCACCCCATGGGCATCTGCAGCCCCTCCCTCCAGGCCGCGGAGCAACACAGTGCGAGGTGCGCCAGGACTACCTCCACCCCAGCTCTCCGCCTCTGCCCCACTGCACCTTTCTCTTGGACCAACCCCATTTTCATTATTTCTGGGAGGCCTTGACTACCACCCCTAACCCAAAGGTCCTTTTCAGATCTGAAGCTGCAAGTATTCACAATCAGATGCCACTGCCTCACTCAAGAACCTTCACAGGCTCCTTGTTGCCTGAGTGGACAAAGATCGCATCAACTCCTACTGCTGAAACACATCTGCATTCAATATCACTGCTGCCCCAGCAGCCCCTGGCAGACTGGGCAGCTGCTGGGACTGTGCCTGGGACCTGGGACCACACCTCCACGTCGTAGAACCTGAGCTGAGAGGGTGAGGGGCTCACCCAAGGTTGTACATTGGGTAGGTGTACAACCTTGGGTAGGTGTGCACACACACACACACACACACACACACACACAGTCACTGAGGCTCCAATCTATCATTCTCAATCCATTCTTTTGCATTTGTAAGATTCCCCTGGGAAAGTCATAATGCCTGACACACTAAGGCAGGGAACTCCCCAAATTCCTTGGATCTGGGGGTAGAAGAGGTCCTAAATTCCATCTATTCCAACCCCTCTGATAATTGAACCCCCTCTACAATATTCCTGCCTCCAGCTATGCAGCTTGTACTTGCACACCTCCAGGGCCAGGGAGCTCACTTCCACCTGCCCATCTCTGATCTCCTGCAAAGGTTAGAGTCCCTCCTTATGCTGGGCTGAACCCTGGCCCCCAGTGCTTCTCCTACCTTGGCTCTTGCTTGGGTCTCCACCCTGGGGCTCCAAGCCCTCTCCTCTTCTAGCTTCCCTAGTCTCAGGCGTCCAGCTGTGATTTTCTCCTCATTCCAGGCCTACTGGCCAAGGGCAGAGGCCCTTGTGGGCCGTGTTGAGCTTGGAAGTTCACAGACACATGCACACATGTGTGCGGCACCTAGACTTCAGGCTGGGGAGGAGAGCAGGGGCTACCCTCCTGGGGTGGGCAGCGCTTAGGGGCTGGGAGTGCCAGGTGAGGGCACTGTGCAGAGAGCAAGAGGCAGCCTCCTGCACACGTGTGTCCTAATTGGGCTCTGGGCTCAGCAGAGACGGGCGTGCCTAGGCAGGTAGAGGGGATGAAGAGCCCTGTGTCAGGGGGCAGGGAAGGGATGAAGGGCTTCTGAGACCAGAGAAAGGAGAAAGGAGGCCGAGTGGGCACAAGGACCCCAAACCGAGGAAGGGGCAGCCTTTCTGGGGAGTCTGAGCTGGTCAGCCCAAGCCCTGGCCATGCAAGACAAGCACGGTCCAGAGGGTGAGGTCCACCCCAGCCAGACCAGACCTCAGGGCAGGACAGACACAGGACTCCTGTCCCCACCCTCCCCATGGTCTGGGCCTCACTCTCCTCGAGACGGGCTGTCCCAGAGAGGGTACTCAGGGGCTGTGCCAGGCCCTCCCTCTGTCCTCAGCCCCAGGGCCCACCAGTCTGTGTCCTCGCTGAGGAAGGGGCAGCCCTCCACCTAGAGGGCCACCTGGGGAGGGCAGCGGGAGAGGACGTGGAGGTCAAGCGGGCCCTGCCAGGCGGGCAGCCGAGCTCTGCCCAGGTGGAGCAGGGGAGCCCCCAAGGGTGGGCAGCAGAGCACCGAAGCCAAGAGAGGTGGCATTTGCTTGGTGGGGGTGACATGGGAGTCCTGGGTATGAAGTGAGCCCTGAGGGCTGGGAGGTCTGCCCAAGTCAGGGCTCCTGGCTCCTGGGAGCCACCTGCACACGGGCCCTCTGGCTTGTTTCCTGTTTGCTGAGCATCTACTACGCACCGGGGGCTTCACGTCATCAGCAAGCGGTCCGCAACAGTCTATGGAGCACCTGTGCGCCAGCGCTGATGCGCCCATGGGCAGCGCTGGGTCTCTGGCTCCCCGCCAGTGTGATACACCTAGAAAAAGGCCACGCCCCAGCGTCAAGGAGGGTAGCCCTGCCACTGAGCTGCTCTGTGGCCAGAAATGAAGCCAGGAGGCAGCAAAGGGCTGTGTGCACAGGAGGGCCAGGGACTGACTGGGGGTGGCCTGTGGCCCTGCCCTGGGCACCTCCCGCAGGGCAGGTGGCAGAGTGGCGCCAGTGCACGAGGCCCAGCCCTGGGGACCAGCCAGGCCCTCGGCCCAGATTCCTCGCACCTGCCCCAGTTCGGGGCGGTCCGGCCTAATTCTTCTCAAGGATGCGTGAGGTTCCCGAGAGGCCCCAGGGGCCCTGCCCGAGCCCAAGCGGCAACCCATGCTGTCTTTTGTGATACCCCACCCTCACCACCACCGACTTATACCCCTCAGTGTTCTCCAGCCCAGAACATTCTAGACTCACTGCATTCAGGATGTGGTTGTACCCACAGAAATTAAGGCTCAGCTTTGAATTTTGAGATAAAAATGTAAAACGTGTGTCAGAGAGAGCAAAGGAGACTCGAGCCCAACCCCTGGGCAGGACCCGGGGAAGCCAGCTTTTCCCGAGGACAGTGGGGAGGTGAGGGGGTGCAGGGCCGGGGCCCTTGGAGACGCCTCTGTGAGTGCTGGGACCAAGAGCAGCGGGGCAGAGTGCTGGTGGGCGGCACCGGGCAGCCTCAGGGGTCCTGGTGGGCATTGGGGTGGGTGTGGGCGCTGCCTGGGCTGGGGACAGACAGGGCTGCTGGTGGGAGGGAGCCCCACGGCTGGCACCGACACACGCCCAGGAGAGAGGGGTCCGAGGAGGGCCTGACGCACTGGAGGAACCTCCGTCCAGGCAGAGCGTGCCCGGAAGGGGCAGTGGGCAGAGCAAGAGGCAGGAGCGTGGCAGGGACCAGGAAAAGATGAAGTTTCGCTCCTGGAAGCTGCATTTCTGCCACTTGAGTTTGCATCCTGAAGGAGGGCCCTCCTTGCCACCAGAGTCTGCAGCTCAGTGAGGGACAGTGCCGCGGCCGCAGGAGACGCAGTGGCCTCAGTGAGCTCTGGCCACCTGTGGGGAGGGGAGCAGGGACACTCGGGCCCACAGCCAGCCCCACCTTGCTGAGAGGTTTGAGACAGACCAGGCCCCCTCCCGCCCCTGTGAGGTAACAGAGCCCAGGCCGGGCACTAGCGCTAATCATGGGGACAGGGACGCAGGGCAGAGGCGGCAGCTCTGGTGTCCACCCAGCCCTCCACCAGCCGCACCAGGAGCACCAGTCTCCCCGGCTCCACGCAGCTGGGCAGTGCCCCCCCACAATCCCTGAGGTCTCCAGTCTCCTTCCCCACCTCCAACGGCCCCCAGAAGGCCCTCCCCTCCCCCACCCCACCCCATCCCCCATCACCACCCCTCCTGCATTCCCCGCCCCCCATCCTGGGCCTGGGAGTGGAACCCAGGCTCTTCCACCTTGCGCTGCCCCTGCCTCAGCTGGCCCTGGGACCCCAGGTAGGTCGCTTTGCTTGTCTCTCTGGCCTGCTTCCTCCTGTTTTAAATGGAGGGTGGCACTTCTGGATTCTCTCCCGGCTGCATCATCTGCCAACTGTCCTCCCTTGCAGGGTCCAGTGTCCACCTGCCTGCCCCAAGGGGTCAGGTGCTTCCTCTCCTCCCTCCTCCCTCCTGCTCCCCCTCCTCACTCCCCCATCCCTCCCAGCCCCCTGCACTTCAGCCTCCAGCAGCCTCCCTGCTCCTGTCAATTAGACCAGCTGTGGCAGGAGGCTGGAGAGCAGGCTAGGGCACCCAGCTGGAAAATTGGGTGTCGGGAGCTGCATGGAATCCTAATGCCCCAGCCCTGCCCCACCCCATCCCTCACTGCTCCCTGGTGACAGGGCCAGTGCTGGCAGGGACGCCACTCCTCCTGCTGCTCTGTCCTGCCAGGCCTGCAGGCAGCTCACTGCCCCTACCCCACCCCCTGTGCCACCAGCCCCTCCCAAGGCTTGCAGGAAAGAGCACCGGGCTAGGAGTCCCAAGGCCTGTGTGCTGGCCAGTCCCCTCTCTGGGCTCAGCTCACTGACCTGTAAAGTGAGGCTCCACCCTAGAGCCCTCTGTCTCAGGTGTGCACCCAGACCTCTCAGCTTCCCTCCAGCACAGCAGACTGCCACCGGGTGGCTCATACCTGCCCTGCTCCAGACCTGGCTGGCCCGTTTCTGGTTGCTTTGTTTTGACTAGGAATGCTTCCTCACAGTCTCTCCCTCCTCCCGTCCAGGAGCCACCTCACTCATCCTCTGAGGCCTGCCTGGCCTCCGAGAGGACTGTGCTGCCCGAGTTGGCAGCCACCCACTCAGGTGACCCAAGTCCTGGCCACCAGCACCTCCTGGCCGCAGCCCTAGGGTGCCTCTCCCTAGAAGCGAGAGATGCACCCCCCCACCCCACCTGCTCCCATCGAAATCAGCCAGCTTAATGGGTTTCTTTTGTAATTACTGTCACTTTACTTTTACTTATTACTCCAATAAAGGTACCCCAGCAAGTCGCCTTGGCTGTCGTCTACCGAGCACACACTGTCCAGCTGGTGGAGCCGGCACAGGATCCCAGGGGCGACTCCAGCGACCTTCAGGCACATGCTGGGACTCCGAGGACAGAGCAGAGGACCCCACAGACAAGTCCTCTTGTCTCGCATTCTACGAGCAAGTAAATAAGAAGATGGATTATTTCAGAGCGACCAGAGTCATGAAGGAAATGATCCAGAATGCACGGGTAATGACTTGGGGAAGGCCAGACAAGAGGGCTCAGGGAAGACACCCAGGGAAGGTGGCACCGAAGTGGGGCCTGAGTGACAAGAAGCCACTGTGAAAAGGTTGGGGCGCATCATTCTAGACAGAGGGGGCAGCTAGTGCAAAGGCCCTGAGGCTGCAGCATGCATGGCAGTTTACGGAGCAGGTGGCCTGCGTGGCTGAAGCGGGAAGGCGGTGGGAGGTACCGTCTGACGCCGATCATATCCTGCCTGGATGTGGACTCCTGCGAGTTGTCCGTGATGAATTCAAAGTGCAAGTGGTAGCCGCTGCAGGCTGTAAGTGTGAGAGACATGTGCTCTGATGTTCTTTTACATGACCTTGCTCCCTGGCTGCTGGCACAGAGGGCTGTTGAGGACGGAGGGCAGGGGGCAAGAGCAAACGCCAGGAGGCCAGTTAAAGGATGCCGCAGTGACAGGAAGAGACAGGGCATGACACGGGCGGCCTGGAGGGGCAGAGGAGTGGCTCTGGCTCAGAGTCCACTAGGTGGGATCTTTTCAGTGTGTCCCGCTCATGAGAGCAGGAAGCCCCTTCCTGGCACCCTCCCCCTTCCTCGTTTCCCCTGCTCCCCTCCAAACCTTGCTCCTTGTGATTCCTTTTCTCTGCTGATCCGCCACCTCCGAGTCCAGTCTCCTGCATGGGCTGTTAGTCGCAGCTTTACCTGGTTCTGCCGCTGCTCAGTGGGGAAAGGGTGGGGGCTCAGGGCTCCAGGGAAGGAGAGGGAGGAGCAGAGGCCCTCTTGGGGTCTAGTCCAACAGCAGTACTTTTATAAAAGCCAGCCAGCCTGTTCACACTGCAAAGATTCACCTCTGGCCGTTTTTCCTCCTTGTAGCTTATTACGCGAAGAACATCTGTTCTCTTCCCAGCCTTGAGTCACTTTACAAAAGGCCCCTTCTATGACCTGAGCCCGGGTGATGCCAGGGCCCGGGACAGCATGGAGCGTTGTGAGGAAAAGGCAGGCCACAGAGTGGAAAAAGCTATTTGCAATAGGACTCTTAATTGAAACTCAATGAGACAAGGGGAGATTACCAAATAGAAACACGGGCAAAGGACTTGAACAGGCATTGCTCGAGAGAGGAAAACCAAATGGCCAGTAAAGATATGAAAAAGTGCTCAACTTCGTTATCAGGGAAATGCAAATTAAAATCACAGTGATTAGCAATTTATACACCCAGTGGAGGGACTAAAATGAAATGTATTAAGAATGTATCAAGTTTGGCCACAAGGCAGCGATGGGTGGGTAAACTGGTACAAACATTTTGGAAACTCTGGTCATATCTAGGGAAGCTGGACACACATACGTCCTGTGACTAAGCGATTTATTCCTAGGTTTATGCTCAGCAGGAATGCGTACATATGCCCACCGAAAGCCTTGTGAAAGAATGTTCATACCAGCTTTACTCATCACGGAGCCAAACTGGAACTAACCCAAATGTCTATCAACGGTGGAATGAATAAATCAACTGTGGTGCATTTCACAGCACTGAGAATGATCCAACACGAATGCTACACTCAACATGAACGAACCTCACAGACACGTCGCCGGGGGAAAGAAGTACGTACCACACGATTCTGCTCACATGAAGTCCAGGACAGATATTCAGGAGAGGCTGTCCCTGTAGCCCCCGACAGGGGACTGGCGGGGCTGCGAAGGTCCTGGTGTCCTGAGTCTTCACCGGGAGCCCCTGTCTTGGGGGTGCTCACTTTGGGAAAAATCCATCTTTTTGATCTGTGTGCTTTCTCTCTGTGTGTGTATACACACATATATTTACTTCTATTGTGATGAACTTCAGAAAAGTTATTAACTTCAAAAACTAAACTGCTGCAGAAGCATTTAGAGTAAAAAGAATGAGGAACTTGGGGATAGCTGAGCGCATGAAGGTTCCTGACGGGCGCATTGATGGCAATAGCCTCTACTGTGAACCCGTAAACCTAAGCGAGGGTTTCCCTGGGCTGTGCGAGCCACTCTAGCAAATTAGCCAAACCCAAAGAGGGGGTCACGGGAACCCCAACTTGAAGCCCACTGGTCGGGCAGTAGTTGCGGAAGCACAGACTTGCGGCTGCTGTCTGGGTGGGAGGGCAGTTTTGGGGGCTGAGCCCACACCCTGCGGGATCTGACGCCATCCCCAGGCTGTACAGTCAGAACTGAACCGGAGGACACCCTCCCGGCGTCCGCTGCAGAACTGATTGCTCCCTGGTAGTGGGGAGAAACCACTCCCCCACATCTGGTCACAGAAGTCTTCTGTGACGCTAACTGTTACCGTGGGAGAGCAGAGTTAAAACAGCTTGAGATTTTACCAAACAAAGAGACAGATAAAAGCCAGGGTAATATTATTACAAAGGAGACAGTTAAAGGAAGTACCAACTATCAAACTTTAATTCTTCTAGAGATTTCTTACGTTTTTGAGCTTATGGGAATTAATATATTACACTTATCTATTCAGTGGTTCTTAAACAGGAATGTAACAGAATCTTGAGGACATTTTTTGTTAGAGACATTTTTTGTTATTGTTAGAGACAGGGTCTCACTATGTTGCCCAGGCCGGACTTGAACTCCTGGGCTCAAGGGATCCTCCCACCTCAGCCTCTTGAGTACCTGGGACTACAGGCACATGTCACTGTGCCTGGCTTTAAGGAAATATTTTTAAATATATACATGTCCTTATTAGATTTATTAAATCAAAATCTTCAAAGGAGACCCTAGATTTGTGGATTTTTTTTTTGACTGGGTCTCCCACTGTCACCTGGGCTAGAGTGCAATGGCATCAGCATAGCTCACAGCAACTTCAAACTCCTAGGCTCAAGGGATCCTCCTGCCTGAGCCTCCCAAGTAGCTGGGACTACAGGCATGCACCACCACACCAGGCTAATTTTTCTATTTTTTGTAGTGACAGGGGTCTCGCTCTTGCTCAGGCTGGTCTCAAACTCCTTGCCGCAAGCCATCCTCCCACCTCGGCCTCCCAGAGTGCTAGGATGACAGGCATGAGTCACTGTGCCTGACCTAGACTCGCAGATTTTTTAAAACTTTCCCCGGGTCACTGTGATGCACAATTCCAGCTGAGAACGAGTGCAGTAGACAATCACTTCAGGCTGATCTCTCACCCTCATGGCCAATTCTCTCTGTCATTTGGGGATTTGGCCAGAAAGAGGAAAGAATAAGAGATACAGTCATTTACTGAAAACTCCGTTTAATTTTCCTGAGTAGGGGGAAAACAGGGCCTAGTGAACTACAGATGCAACATGATTTTGCTATTTATAAGCTCCTTATCTCTCACCTTCCCATCAAGACATTCTAGATATAAGTGGCTGTTTCTGCTAGAATAGGATAATAAGGCAGTTAATAATGTGTTCTTCCCTTTTGCTACCCACTTCATCATGGCCTATTCACTGCCAATCTGCTTTCCTCAGACTTCTCCTCAATTGATCTCTAGGCAAGTTTACCACTCACTCTCTTTCCCAAACTGAGAATTATCCCCAAACTGAAGAGCGCCTCATCTAACACATAAACTGGAAAACACACACACACAGAGAGCCTCTTCTTGGTACTTTCCCCCAATGCCCTAATTCCCAAGCCTGAGTACTTTTGACAGGCCAGTTTCCCTTTTCCTTTTCCATTTTAAGCCTCGGCCACTGAGAAAGAAATCACTTTCATGTAAATTACTTTTATCAGGAACTTGTCAACGGCAGCAAGGTTTCCACTTATTGTAAAATGCCTTTGTTTTGTTTGAATTTTAAGATAAAGCCTATTTCCAGGGGAAATTTTGCTTTCTTGTGTTGTTTTACACTAATTAGGGAAAAAAAAGAAAGAAAGAAAAAAATTGGGATGGGAAAAAGCATTTGGAAAAAAAAAGTCTTACATTTAACAAATTAAGTGCTTTCACAAATATCTACCGTAAGTGCAAAAAAAGAAAGATGTACCCTCTAATGCTCCTTTCAAAGTATCAGTATTTAAAGTGAAATCTTAGACAATCAAGTTATTTCAAAATATTTTCATTCAGAGAATGCCTGAGCTTCCACATACGGAAAATGCACCTACACACGCCAGTGTTAAAACAAGCGCGCTCGCTCGGCTGTGGCCCCTTCCCCTGACGGACGCGCCACCTGCCGCGCGGCGGGAGGCTCTCTGCCCGTGTGACGGCAACCCCCATCCGCCTCACGCCTCACGCCTCACGCCTCACGCGGCCCACAGCACAGCCACAGCTCCGCGAGGCAGGGAGCGCCGGGGCACGCGGCTCCTGGGGGACAGAAGCTGCGTCCTCCTGCCCTCCTCTCCCCCACCTGGGGTTGGCCTCACAGGCCAGTCACCCGCGAGGCCAGCCGCGTCCAAGGCGACCTACCCAGCCTCCCTGGTGTTTCATTGGCCGGGCCTGGCCACATGCCCACTCCCGGCCTATCACAGGCAGAGGGTGTGGTCGCCGTAGGCCAATCAGGAGCACCCGTGGTGGAGGGTGCGGGGCTGTGGGTAACCGTTAGGACAAAGAGGACATGGGCGCTGGGTGGGCAGCAAACCCCGCGCGGCTGGTCCGCGTTTGCCCTGCGGGCGCTCATACACCACCCACAACCCCAGCAACCACTGAGGCTCTTTCGAGCATTCTTCAGTACCTATCTGTTCTCTAAGCTAGAAACGCTTGGCTCTAAGGCATGGAGTGGCCTGCGCTCACCCTCCCACCTGCCAGCTCTTGCGCCTCCCTCGCTGAATTCCTTCTTCCTCCTCAAAGAAACCCCCACCCTGCCCCAGGGCCTTTGCACCTGCTCTTCTCTTTGCCTGGATGATGCTCCTAGGCTCCACCAGATCCTTTCCCAGACACCGCCTCCCCACCCTCCGCCCTTGGGCCCCCCATCGAAGGCGGCCTACTTTCCCCCCACCCTAGGAATCTCCTTCCCAGTGTTGCCAGAGGCCATGTGGCCTTGGTCATGCACCTGTGTCGCGCACGTCAGCTCCGTGGGGGCAGGGCCCTCAGCGTCCGCATCCGGTTCCTCTAGGTGCAGCCTGTGCCCCGGGGCGGCCTGCACCCACACGGAGCGCACAGGAGGGGTGCGCCTCTGTGCGCCCGCGGTACAGACCAGTCCCTTGTCCACGTCCGCGAAATCCAAATGCTCAGAAAACTATACTCCTTTTCTTTACCTGTTTGGTGGCAAACCTGACCCAGATTGATGCAAGGCCATTGTTTATGCCCCGTCCTGTGAATACGTGCGCAGCTTGCTGAAGAGAGTAATGTGTTTTAGGGGTTGTCTCAGGCTGGGTTTCCCAAAAGCGGCGCCTGAGACAGGACGTGGGTGCAGGTGGTTTACTTGGAAGGTGACAGCAGGAAGCAGGGGGAGGAAGGGGGGTGAGACAGGAATAAGGAGGAGCCAACCCGAGGGCCACTGTGGAGGTCGCTGCAGAGGGCCCTGGGCAAGAGGGCAACTCCTCTGGAGAACTGCCGGGCACTTACCCACCTGGCCCTGGGCCCTGCCAGCTGAGGGTTGCCCCCGGGGCTTCACTCCCCAGAACTCCCAGCTGTGGTGGAGGTGAACACCCCAAGTGGCCTGCAGCATGGGGCAGCCCCAGACTCTGTGGAAGAGTGGCATGGAACAGGACGTGTGCACCAGGTTACCTTCCCGAAAGCTGCAACGCATCTGGCCCCAGGGTTTCAGGTTCCCAGGTAGAATCGCTGCGTCAGAGGGGGCACCCTGGGCGGAGTCTTGTGTGTAGTTTTAGAGTTTTGACAGGCACAGCCCTCCAAGACGGCTGACTACCTTTTACCCTCCTTCTGCGTGAACATGTCCCACCCTCACCTCACCCCGCATCAGATGTGCTAGCTAAGTAGTATTGGTCACCGGACACTGTATTGCACACTCAGGCCCAGCACTGTTGTAGGCACTGATTTCTCGCGGGGACTCTGCGGGTGGTGCTGTTTTCTACAGTCAGTTTTTAGGTGAGGAAGGTGAGCCGCAGACGTGGCACACTTCATCCAAGTTCCCACAGCTGAGAAGGCCAGGGCAGGAGTCCATTAACGGCAGCACTAGGCTACCCGATCACCTTTTAGTTCTTACCAATCTCACAAGTGAAACATGATAGTTCATTGTCTTATTTTGCATTTCTCTATTGTCATGTTTTTCAGTCAAGAGTGGGCACAGATACAAATATTGGTAACAGAGACACAAACCAGAAATGTGTTGCTTGCATAAAATCTAGAGGCTGGCAGTCCAGAGCCGGCATGTCAGCTCTACTCCATGGTCTACTCCAAGGCCCAGGCTCCTTCTCTTGTTACTTTGCTGTGTGTGATCTCTGGTCCCAAAGTCTCCTCACAGTCCAATATGGCTGCTGAAGCCCCTGCCATAACATCTCGTCTTCCAGCCACAGGGAGAAAGAAGGGCTAAAGAAAAAGGAAACCAAGCGTACCTGCCAGCTGTCTTTTAAGGAAAGTTCCTGGAATCTGCTGCTTCTCACTGGCTGGAACTTGAGCATGCAGCCTCACCTACATGGGAGGCTGGGGAATGTCTTTATTCTAGACCATATGCCCAGCCAAAAGTCAAGGATTCTGCTCCTGAGGACAAAGGGAAGGTGGATGCTGGAGAACAGCTTGTGATCTCTGCCACAACTGAGGAAGGAGTATTCTTGGCCATTTCTAGTTCTTCACCTAGGAGTTATCTCTCCATACTCTTCTTTCTCTATTCCACTGATTATCCTTTCCTGTTTGATTTCTAGGCACGCTTCTTATGGGAAACTCACCACTTCCCCAGACAATCTGTAACAGCGCTTGGCTCTAAGCATTTGAGCCAAAATCAGCTTAGCACCTGCTTAGCACCCGGCTCAGCACCCGGCTCGTGCTAGGTGCCCCACAACGCTGGCTTCTTTCCCCCAAGCCAGGGGTGGCAAACGTTGGCCTGCTCCAGAATCCCCTGGGGTGCTAGGAACTCGGAGGCACAGGCTCGTGGATTGACAGGGCCTGGCCCTTGTGCTTTTCTGAAGTCCCCTGGGTGAGAATGCTACCCACTCAAGTTTGGGTCAGCCCTAGATTGCTAACACGCTCTCTTTATACTGCCATTGACTTCCTCTTGGTCATGTGGAGCTTCACAAAGGCGGCCAATCTCTCCTCCATTCCGCAGCCCGCAGGCATCTGAAGAGACTAGTGGGGTCTCCCCTGTGACGTCTCTTTGCCAGACTAAAAAGTCCCATTTTCTCCCCTGTCCCTTATGTAGCAGGGTTTCTAAATGCTTCTAAATGGTATCACTCTCAGCAGATGGACCCCAGTGGATCAATCTCGCTTCTGGAATAGTCACCTCAATTGACCAGGGCCTCTCTAGGTAGAGTCTGGGCAGTCCAGAAGAGCACAGAACCCTCACCTCCCCTGGTCTGAATCCTATGCTTCTATTAATGTGGCCATGGCTTCATCAGCCCTGGGAGCAGCTTTGTCACTCTGTGACCCCACCCTGAGCCCAAATCTACCTTAATCTCCAGTAGTAGTTACATGCTGATGGTGTATATTTGCACGTGGCTTCCAGTAACACAAAACCCCTGTCCAGGGCTGGGCGCAGTGGTTCATGCCTGTAATCCTAGCACTCTGGGAGGCCGAGGTGGGAGGATCGCTCAAGGTCAGGAGTTCAAGACCAGCCTAAGCAAGAGCGAGACCCTGTCTCTACTAAAAACACAATGAAATTAGCTGGACAACTAAAAATATATATTTAAAAAAATTAGCCAAGTATGGTGGTGCATGCCTATAGTCCCAGCTACTTGAGAGGCTGAGGCGGGAGGATTGCTTGAGCCCAGGAGTTTGAGGTTGCTGTGAGCTAGGCTGACGCCACGGCATTCTAGCCCAGGCAACAGAGCAAGACTCTGTCTCAAAAACAAAAACAAAACCCTGCCCAGGCCAGTTCAAGCACAAGAGACATCACCGCAGGGAGAAGGCAGAGGCCTGCGGGTCCAGGCCCAGGGCGATCCTCAGCGCGTCCGTTTCTTCAAGTGCAACCTCTGCCCTCTTCTCACTTGGCCATCCCGGTGCGTCAGCCTTACTCACAGACCCGGCCCTACTACTCTCCAGACTCCAGAGATTCCAGACATCCCCATCCCAATCAGATGTGAGGACATCCAGAGGAAGCCATCCCTTCTGCAGGAAGCCGCCAACAGTTTCCTGTCTTTGACTGGAACTGGGTCATTTCTAAACCAATCACTGGCAAGGGGGTGGGACCCCACGCCCGGCTTAGCCCAACCCAGATCCTCTGTCCACTCCCACAGGGCAGGTGATGGGGGGAGGGGGCGTCTCGAACAAAATGGGGACTCTGTTAAGGAAGGGGAAGGGGAGAAATTGACCTCCCATGGGGACCTCCAGCAGAGCGAACAGCGGGTGCCAAGGTGCAGAGGCAAGAGTGGGTGCGGGGCCTCCCAGCCGGGCTGGAAGAGGCTGGAAGACTGCTTAACAGGTGAGGGCGCCGCCACGCGCGTGCCCACCACGGGCCCTCCGGCTGCTGCGGGGAGAGTGACCAGGGTCCAGAACCGAGGCAGAGAGGCCAATTAGGAGGCTGCCGCCGTCACCCAGGTGAAGGGTGACATGGCTTGGACCCCAGGGGGACACAGAGAGGTAAAGTCACTAGGATGTGCTGCAGCATCGCAGGCGGAAGGCGGAGAATGGCTCAGCAAGGACGACCCGTGGTGTTGGCTTGAGGGGCTGGGGGCTGCCACTTAGGTAGGGAGCAGGAGACTTGGGGGCCGCTGGATTATCTGGGGTGGACGCGGACCTGAGAGGCATCAGCACATGGATGGCATGTGAAGCGAGACTTGGGGGAGCGTACTAGGTAAAGGAATGGACACTGTTGTGCCCTTTTCCTTTGCGTCAGCTGTTGCAGGAACCCGAGAGAGAGGGAGGGGACCTGGTTAAGGCCCTGCAGGGGATCGACTTCAGAAGCGTTGAAGATACGATTTGCCGGACCCCGTGACCTAATCAAATGCAGGTGGAGAAGGATCTCCAAGAGGATGGGATGGTGCGAGGCCCTGGTCACCGAACCTCGGCACAAGGGGCTCAGCTCTGCCCTGCCTGGGCTGGTCCTTCCAGAGCCTTCACCTGGCCCCACTGGCCAGGCGGCAGCTGGCTCCCACCTCACTGGGCCACTGCCATTGGCCCTGTCCTTTTATCCCACTTGGAGGTTCTCTGTGCCTCTCCCCCTCTCGGCTCATAGCTGCTCCCACTGTCCTCTGTGGGGTCTGTTTCTTTTGGGTGAAGCATATACTTCCACTGCTGCGTCTGCACTCTGTCACACACTCCTCCTTCCAGCCAGCATTCCCGAGCTGCCTCCCCGGCCAGGCCGCTGGTGAGAGCGCTTCTCGGCTCTCAGGCCTGCAACGCCTCGCTACAGCTTTGGGAGGCAGGCATAGCTCGCTCCATTTCACAGAGGTGGCAGTTGAGGCTCTAGAGTTCAGATGAGCATTCCAAGTTCAGTGCCTGGCCGCCATCCTCCTTCCCTTCTTAGGGTCACCCTGACAGTCAGTCCAGCCCTTGGTTCATAGCCGGGCCTGGGACGTCTCAGCATGGATTTGTGGGTCTAGGGGCGGCCAAACCTGGGGTGGGGGGCGTGAGCTGTGGGAGTCAAGGGGTCCAGGCAGTCTGGCCCTGCCTGTGTTAATCGGCATTTGTTCACCCTCAGTCCTGGTCCGTACACTGGGGAGTAGGATAACTACCGTTACCTCACTGGCAGAGATCAAACAGCTTGGGGCCTAGCCCATGGCGCATTTGCGACCTTTCAATGGCTAGCACTGCGTGCACGCACAGTGCTGGCACACGGCAGGGGCTTTATACCTAAGTGAAGTCCTCCGGGCAAGCACATGGACCGCTCACCTCTGCCCCCCCATGTCCCCGCCCTTAGCAGCCTCCATCAGGCCCGGCCCAGGGGCAGCTCAGGGACTAAGGGGAGTTGATTGGCAACAGTCAAAAAGGCCTTGGTGGGGAGACATCCGCCCTCAGGTCCCAAAGTCGGGAAGCTTCTTAGACCAGAAGGTGCTGAGAAATGGGGCCCCACGGGCCAAAAGTGGGCCTACATGCGTGCCGAGACCCGCCCCGCTTCTCAGCGGCAACTGGCGCTGACAGCAGCAACAGCAGAGAAGAGGAAGGGCAGGGCACGGCAGCAGCTCCTGGGTAGGAGACAAATGAGCAGGTAAGGAAGGGCCTATGCGAAGGATTGCCAGGAACCCCAAATACGATCCAGACCTTCTTCAAGAGAGCAGAGGGAAGCGCAGCATTCCTCTACGACTGCTATTTGCCGGTTGGACTGTGCTTTTTGGAATGGTGTCCGCTGCAGAGACTGAGCCACATGAGGCCCCAGTGTCTACTAGGGTTACACTCCAGCATTTAATCCTAACCTGCAGAAGGTGAAAGGACTTTATAAATAGCTAAGGGATGGCCACATCCAGGGAGCTCTCCAGAGACAAGGCCATGTCTCCTTTAGTCTTCTCCCCTGCAGATGCCACAGGGCGGGTGCCCCAGGTGGCACACAGGACAAGACTTGTGGGTTGACCTTCAGTGTGAGAAACTAGACAGAGCAGCTGGGCTGTGGGATTCTGCTGAGCAGCAGAAGAGAGAAGAAAATTTATCTTTTTTATTTAGCTGGAAAAGGCAAAAGGAAGACACACCCCAGATGGAAATTAACTTTCTGACCACCTTTCTCCCCACCCTGTGTCCAGAGCCAGGGCCACTTCCCTCCTCCCCCAGGAGACATGAGTGCCAGCCCCACCAATGCCCGGGCCCCACCCAACACCTGGGCCAAGTCGTACCATCTCCCCTCCCCACCCCTCCTCCGTGACGGGCCTCCGAGCCCACTCTGCTCCTGCCCAGACACGAAAAGGCAAAAACATGTCCTCTTCCAACATCATTTCTACAGCCTTTTCCTCCAAACAGTGGGCCCGTCCCACACTATCTGACTTCAGGCTCCGTCACCCCTGAGCCCTGGCCCATCCCCAGTGTTCACAGGGCCTGGGCAAGATCACGAAGGGAAGCTCAGATACCATATGTCTAAATATTGAAAAGTTATAAATCTAGCTAGCAAGCTATTAGAACATCCTCCTGCCTTGACAAATTTACCTTCATAATGGCCTGCAACAGGTTTCAGTTTCGAATTCATGGCCTCCTTGAATGTGGTGGCCCGGGGAGAGTGAGGCCCCACTCCCTGTCCCATAGCACACGCTCTTCTCTTCTTGCCCCCAGCACCACCCTACAACATAGGGGGTCTGGCATGCACACACATAGGCCCCCAACACACGGGTCCAAGCTCTGTCCACACCTCCCACACAGGTGACACAGTCCACCTTGGGAAGGACAGGCCTTGGTAGCAGACCTAGAGACAGCTGGGCAGAAAATCCTGGGGTCCTAGGTGTTTAGAGCATGGCTGAGAAGTGGGGAGGGTCTGAGCGTGCACATGGACCCTGCAGACTCATCACCCTGTGGGGGGAGCTGGGAGCTAGGGGAAGGTCAGAACAGACCTCTCCCGTGTGTGTGGCAGGGCCCCTCTAGACCCTAGTCCCACCTGCCTCCTCCCCCTCCCATCTCTGGGGTCTAATCCAAATTGATTATGCTACCCCAAGACCTGGTCTCCATCCTCCCGTGCCATGCTTCCCACGACCTGGGGAAGGCGTTCCCCTCCACGCCCTATTTTCTGGGCTCATTCTTCACATCTTTCAATGAAGGATTTGGAGCAGATATCTTAGAAGTAACCAGAATTTCAGCAGCAAGTATCAGAATGCAGGGTCTGAGAGAGCCATGCCAGGCCTTGGGCCTGTTGTAAGGCTGGTGTCCCTCAGCTCTCTGCAGACCTACAGGTTGGGACATTGTGTGGTGCCCAACCTGGGACTCAGGCCTTTGGCCCCCCTGGCCGAGGGGATGTCTGGGAGAAGATAAAGCAACAAGCAAAGCCGGAGAGTAAAGCGGATTGGGTTCCATCCCAGCCCTGCTCTGGTGAGCTGTGCCAGGGCGGGGGAATTTCTGTCTCTCACCCCGTTCCCCGAAATGTAGACTAGCTCCCCTGCGTGGGACGGGCCGCCGTGGGGGTCAGATGCCGCCTAGCCTGACCCCCAGCACTGGATGTGAGGCATGGCCTGCCTCCGGCAGGGCCTGGAAAGCTAAATACCACCCTGCCGAGTCCTTCTTGAAGCCAAGGGTCAGATGTGGCTTGGGCTGCACAGATCAGATATTCTTCCAGAGGTTTGGAAGGAGGCACCGGGCAGATGGGATGCCTCTGCTTCTGCAGCCACCGTCCCTGCCCTAGGACAGGGGTGTGCAGCCCGTCACCAGCTCCCATGGGGCACCCGTGACGCTGCTGCCACTGTGGCCCAGTTCTGCCCTGTTACTCTAAAGTCAGTCCTCAAAGCACACCCTCACGTCTGGTCTTCGGCCTCCCCGACGATGCCGTCCACCACTCGGTGGTCTCTCGTGAGTCCTTTCCTGCTTATTCAGCTGTAGAGAATTCTGCTCTCTGCAACAGAACCCAGACTGGAGTGCATGCATTCGCTCCTGCCCAGCACACGGGTGGCCATAAATATTGTTTGTGAAAGTGAGTGAGGAGAGGGAGCAGGTGGAGGGGTTTTGTCTCTTGGGCAGGTGTAGATTCTGGTAGCTGAGTGGTGGGGGAGGAGACGTCGCTGGAGGAGGAAAAGTGGAGACAGGAAGATTGAGGACAAGGATTGAGAAGCTGTGGCTGCCTGTGTCCCCAGTGCTGTCACCAGTGCCTCCTTCACACATGGCCTTGCTTTCTTTGGCAAGAACCGTGAGGACCGAAGCCGCTGTCAGACGTGCAGGTGAGGGCTATTTTAGAGGAGGCCAAGACAGGGAGATTTGGGGTGGGGGCTTCCGGCTTACATGGGGAGGCGGGACTGGGCAGGAACAGGGGTAGCAGACGGGACCCTGAGGAGAGGGGACAGGGACAGGCTGGAACTCCAGGCCTAGGGAAGGGGAAGGGGCCCCAAGGCTCGAGGGACAGCCAGACCATGCCTGGAGGCTGGGCCCTTGGGGTCAGGCCGTGACACCCTCCAGGCAGGAGTGATGAGGAAGGCAGAAACGCAGCCCCCTCCTGAGAGGTGGGCCCTGCAGGCCGAGACACAGCTGAGCTGCAGAAGAGCAAGGCCAGAGAGCAGGCCCAGGTGGACTCACAGGTGCAGGGATGGGAACGCAGTGAAGTTGGGGACCAGAGCCCTTCACCTTGGGCTAACATAGCCACCTGGTCTCTGCAGGTAAAGGGCCTCATGAAGGAGTGCGTGAGGCCAGCCCATTACCCGGGGGAGACCCCAGACGCAGAGGCCAGAAGCTGCGGCTGGAGCCTGTACTCAGAGGCACTGGGTAGCGTGGGGCACGAGTCCGACTCGGAACTGGATTCCCCAGCCTGGGAAGAGCTAGAAGAATTCCTGAGCAAGCAGGAAACCCCCCAGGTGCTCCTGGGCCAGACTCAGGATCGTAGAGTCTCAGGAGGGAGGATGGGGCCACTGCTGGAACAGCCAGGGAGCAGAGAGCTAGGGGGAGACGGTGCCCAGGCTCCAGCCCCCTGGGAACAGCTGCACCCAGCCTGGGCGAGGGCACTGGGAGGGGACAGGAGGCCAGCTGGAGCTCGGGCAGGAGAAGGGTGTGGTCCCCAGCCCCGGCCATCCCAGACAGTCAGTCCACACAGTGGACTGGTTCCTCGCTGTGGAGAGAGGGGCCGCAGATGGGAGGACGACACAGGGGAGGGGCAGGCCGGGGGCCCAGGACAGGCTGCCTGGGCCGGGCTAAGGGGAGGCTCAGAGGGTCCCTCAGAGACCTGGACCCACCCAAGCAGGAGCAGGAGGGGCAGCCTCTGAGAAGCTGGGGGCTGGGGTGCCTAGGATCCTGCCTTTTGGGACTGACATCTGAGAACCAGCTGAGACCCAGTGATCCTTTTAAAAACCTGCAGGCACAGGGCTTCTTTTAAGGACATCTCTGGAGAAAAAAATGTTGCTGTTCCTGAGGCTGGGGGGAGATTGAGAGAGGAGAATTCAGCTAAGCAACTAAACAGAAAAGGAACTTCCCTGGCCAAGCCGCTACGAGGGTCACCAGCATAACCTTGGAACTGTGAACACCTTCAAACCAAGGCCGGGCAGAGCCAGGTAAATGTGCTGTGAACGCCTGCCAGTGTGGGAGCCACTGAGGTGGGGGGACGTTAAGGCATCTGGAGAAGGAAGCAGCCCAGACTGGAGAGCACCCAGGTGGTAGGTCACAGGTGGGACTGTGGACTTCCTGGAGGACACAGAAGAACCAAGACACCTGCAGCTTGGCTCGTGGGCCCAGGTGGGACAGAGTACCCCATGGAGAGGGCACCACACAGAAAGGGTCAAAGTGGGGTCCCCCCAGCAATTGGAGTCCTGTCTACCACACCCAGACCCCTGCCCCAGCTGAAATATCCAATTCATCGGGGCCCAGCCCACAGAGGTTTTCCCCAAAATTGCCCCCACAGTGGACCCCAATCGGGAGACATTGGTCTTATCACTGGATGGACACCCCTTTGCCCCAGGAAGAATTAGGATTAGGCACAAAACAAGCAAGTCACTTTTTTATAGTCAATATTTTGTGTTATGAAATAAGGGCATATTTAGTGGTTCAGGTATTTGCTATTAAAACACCAGAGTCTGCTTGAGCTTTGAGTCGAATATTTCGTATAAGGAATTCATTCCGAACTGTGATTTTCCTCGATATGAGGCTCATGTGTTAAAGCTATTGGGACATGACAGGAACCCAGAGTCACCACAGGAATAAGTGAGAATTTATCGGGTCACAGGTTTCACCTGTTCTTCAAATAACTGAAGTATGTAAAAAGGAAAGCAGATATACAAAACGTATACAGTTTGGGGTAGGTAAGGACATTCCCTTAACTACATTTGAAACATGGGCCCAAAATTAGCCAGATCCCCCTTAAATGTGCTTGTTTAAATTTGCTAGATTTATAAGTAGAATAACTTTTGTGTTGAAATTAAACATAAGGATGTTTGTGTTTATGTTAGTGAATAAAAGTTAATTTTTAAGCCTGAGAACTGACACAGGATTCCCGCACACAAAGCCAACCCATCCTTGATGCTTCCAAATGCCCAGGAGCTGCAGTGTCCCCTAACAGAGGCCTCAGGCCAACCCAAGGGGCAGGGCCTGGGCCTTGACCACCGGACTCATGTACAGCTTTGGTCACATCTTAGCTTTCTAGGGAATAAAATTAACCCTTCCAGAAAAAAAACCGATGCTGATGAAGAGAAAGTGTCACAGGAAGGCAAAGTGTCACAGGAAGTTGAGTGGGCAGGGGTATCCTGGAGCCTGAGTCAGGCTGGGGACTGCAGGGCAGCCCTGGCTATAGGGCCTGAGGTGACAGAGCCTTCGGCTGTGCCTGTTCCTCTGCCTCCTCCTCCTCCCATGGTGCAGGTTCATAGGGGATATCCCTCAGGAGGGAGGATGGGGCCACTGCTGGAACAGCCAGGGAGCAGAGCTAGGGGGGGACGGTGGCCAGGCTCCAGCCCCCTGGGAACAGCTGCACCCAGCCTGGGCGAGGGCACTGGGAGGGGACAGGAGGCCAGCTGGAGCTCGGGCAGGAGAAGGGTGTGGTCCCCAGCCCCGGCCATCCCAGACGGTCAGTCCACACAGTCCAACCAACTCCAATGGAGGCAGGCAGGGAGCAGGACAGCCCTGCAGGCCCCCAGAGCCTCCAGGGCACAGTTCCCACTGATCCGGGGCTGAGCTGCTGAGTGCCACGGTGTGACACCTCTCACGGCGGTAGCTCAGACCCGGGAGTGCACTCAAAGTTTCCCCACAGAGATCCAGGCGGAATCCAGGGCTTTCCAGAGGAGGAGTTTGTAGCAGTTGGAGAGCAGGGGTCTGAGCAAAGGCAGGAGGGCTCTGGCTCTAGGAAGCAGGTGGCTGGGGCCAGCAGTGGGCTCCAGAGCCACCTGATCGAGGCCTTGGGCAGTTCAGCCGAGGTCCCTGGCTGACGACCAGAGAGACAAGGCTCATCTCTTGACTGTGAGGAGCAGCAGGGCTGGTTCCTCGCTGTGGAGAGAGGGGCCGCAGATGGGAGGACGACACAGGGTTGGGGCAGGCCAGGGGCCCAGGACAGGCTGCCTGGGCCGGGCTAAGGGGAGGCTCAGAGGGTCCCTCAGAGACCTGGACCCACCCAAGCAGGAGCAGGAGGGGCAGCCTCTGAGAAGCTAGAGTCGTGGTCATTAACTAGAGGACCTTGCCCTGGGGAGCAGCTGGGACCCCGGGATGCCCCACAGGGTGCCCTGTCTCCACACAGGGGTGAGGGAGGCTAGGACAGCAGGAGAGGGGAGAGGACGAAGGGCAAGGGGGCTTCCAGGTTTTTGTGAGGCCCCCAGCCAGCCAGGCCTGTGTGGTGCTGGGAGCACAGCGATCCTGCAGTCCCTGCAGGCCCGTCCTCCGTCTGGCAGACCCTTTCTTTTTCCCTTGACAGTGGGCAGCGACCACTGCATCCCACAGCCTCAGCCTGAGCCCCAGGCTCCCGTCGAGAAGGGAAGTGGGGAAAGGGGCCAGAAACCGGCCGGTAGTCCAGGGGCAGCGGGGCTGGGGCTGGGGTGATTCAATACAGACCTTGGCCCCGTAGTTTTAAATAAGAAATTTATTGCAAATATAGAAATTGATTCTCTCCATACAGGAATCTCCGAGTTGAGGAAAACAATTTCGTGCCATTCAGTTTAAAACAGGAAATCAGGGGGTGGGGGGAGGCAGATGTAGGGAAGAGAAAATAAACGAAGTTACCCCCCCAAAAGAAGAAAAGGAGAGGGTTCAAGGCCCCCCGGGGGAGGAAAGGTCCATACACAGCTAGGGTTCACAGGTTCAGAGTCCAGGGCCTCGGGCCGGCTCTGCAGGACCCAAACCAGGTGCCAAACCGCAGCACCCTTGGGGGCTGGCGGCTCCTGATGGGGCAGGGAAGGGGACGGAGGGGGACAGAGGGAAGCGGCCACCGCTGCCAGGACGCCAAGCCCCGCCCCAACCTGTGCTTGTCTGGCAGAGGGGCAGGGGAAGGGAGAGGAGGCCCAGACCCTCCTGGCCCACCCTGCCGGGCCCCCTCTTCCTCTCCCTGCAGTGGGGGGGCCTGAGGCAGCCCGGAGAGGCCAGGCGAGCAGTGTGAATACTGGTTCTGTCTTGGGGGGATACGGGGAGGGGAGGGGGAACCAGGATGGAGGAATCTGAGCATCAGGGCTGGAGAAGCTCCCCTCTCCGGGGCTGAGGGCCAGAGCAGCAGTGTGGCCCCAGGGTCAGGCGCGGTGCCCTTTGCACAGCCCACCCTGTAAGGCCCGGTCGCTGCTCCTCCCATGCCCTGCCCCACCCACCCAGGCGGGCAGGTGGTGGGGTGACCAGAGGAGGCACTGGTGGGACAGTGGCCAGGGCAGCCCCTCTCCCTCCAGTCTTATTTTCATGCCTGGCCATCTTCTGGCTCCTCCTGTCACTCAGAGCTGGGCCACCTGTCACTTCCTCTGAGGGACCTCCCTGACCACCTAGCCCTTGCCCCCATCACCTTGTTTTAATTCTCCACAGAACCCACCTGCCCTCACTGGGGAACATTCCGTGCTTGTCCCTTTGCTTTTTTAGGCCCCTTATAAGCTGGGACCCATCACTGTCATCCCTACTGCCTGTCCCATCTTGGCCCTAGAAGATTTCCTTTCCTTTCCTGCTCCTCAGCTTCCCCCTCAGCTAAATTTCCAGGAGTGGAGTGGAGCGGGTGACCAACTTCTAGTTGGGAACTTGGGTGGCCCTTGGCCAGCCCCAGACTCTCCACCCTGCTCCCCAGGTGCCTCTCTGAGGCTCCTCAGGCCTGGCCTTCCCCAGTGGGTGTCCCACCCCCACCCCCACCCCTCCCAGCCCTTTCCCGGCACGGGCTGCCCCCAGGAGGGGTGCAGAGGTAAGGGGCCCTGGTGGGCAGAGAGAAACCCCTCCTGGGCAGGGAGATGCCAGCCCAGGGCCCCTGAGGAGGTGTCCACACCAGACTGAGCTTTATTCCCACCAACCTCCACTTTTTGCTTCTGGAAGGTCATTAGCTCCAAAAAAGGGTTAGCTGAGCCTACCGTGCCCTCCAGGAGAGAGTGGCCACATCTGTGCCACTTCCCAGGAGTAGGCTTCAAAGGACAGCTCTGATAGGGCCGGGCAGGCCAGGCGCAACCGCATTCGGGGGGTCCAGGGTGCAGCGCCCACACCTCTGGCTGCTCCCCCACCTACCAGCCCCCCTTCCCTCCCGCCTGCCCAGGCCCACTGTGCCCATCACCATGACAAACACAGGGCCTCTGCCAGACTCCCCGGTGGAGACGGTCATTCATCTTTTGCGAATATTTCGCTCCCACTGGGGAAAACTCATCCTGAACGGGAGGCAGGACACAGGAGAGCCTCCAGGTGGGCTCTTCCCCAAAGGGGCCTGGCCTGGGCAGCTGGGGACCTGGCTCTGCCTCACAAGGAACCATGCGACCTACATCCTGCAGGTCAGTTCACCTCCTAGAGTGCCAGGGTCCTCAGGTAAAGATGGGGCCCTTCCCCTGCAGGTAGACAGTTGAGGCTTTTATCGGTCATTTTCAACCAGGAAGGATGGGGAACCGGCAAGGACAGAGCCCTCCCTGGGGGCAGCCCCACCTCCAGTGAGGCCCTGCCAACGCCAGGCTCCTTCCTGCCATGGGTCCTCCCTTGGGGCCCCAAGCCTGCCATAAAGCCTCCCACGAAGCCTCAAGCTCTTGGCCTCCTGTACTCAGCAGTGTGACTGCCCTCCCCACCTGGCTGGCCACATCGACAGACCCCTCTTTGGGGGCCCTGACTTCTTCATCTGCAAAATGGGAACGAGTGGGACAGTAAGAGGATCATCACATCCCTCCTGCTGGGAGATGAGCTCTTGGAGTGTCCCTGGGCTGCCCGCCCTGGCCCAGGTGGGGAAAGGGCTGGACCCAGGGCAGGGGAGGTGGCAGTGGATGGATGGGGGGTGGCACTTGTGGGCTCAAGGCCCAGAAAGATGGGAGGTGGGTGTGGGGCAGGGCTGTGTCTTGGTGGCACCTGTTTTAGGTATTTTGCAGAGCTGGCCCCTCCCTGGGTTTCAAGAGCTGCTCGTCAGATCAAAACAGAGGGATTTGGGAAAGGAGGGTGGCGGGGGGGAAGGCGGGGGAGTCTGGACAAACTGGCACATACACGACAGATGTTTGCTCAGAAAAATACAGTAAAATCGTCATGCAAATATAACAGGGAATCTGCTTTCTCACACCGCTGGCTTCTCTGCCCGCCTGCTTCTCTCAGTTGTGCCGACTGGGTGTGAGGAGTGGGGCAGGTTTTGGGGGGCTGGGGGAGGTCTGCTATGCATATCTGTGCCAGGCCCCTCCCCTCTTCTCCCCAGGAGAACAGTCTTTTCTTTGCAAATGTCACCCCCCCCAAAGGGAGCCCTGGGCTTGGCCCACCCAGAGCAGGTGTGGGAGAGCCCTGCCGCCCTCCTCACGCCCAGCCCAGTGGGAGGGTCTGGAGCCCCCCCCCCGAAGGGATGGCACTAGCTCGCCTGGTCAAAGCCCCCCAGTACAGGTCTTGGTCCCACCCCAGTCCACCCTCACTCCTCAGGCCACACCCCTGATACCCCTCAGACACCCATGTGGGCAACAGGCCAGGAGCTGGAGGTCTCTGGCAGGGACAGGGGAGAGCTGAGGGCTCCCCACATCCTGAGCCTGGGGGAGCCCAGGGGCATGTGGGCAGGCGGCAAAGATGCCCAGTAGGCCGTGCCCACCCCCACTGGCCCATCTCCCACCCTAACGTGAGGGAGTGATGGACTCTGGCCCCTCAGATCTTGACAGTCCAAGACCCCACCGTCTCAAGACCTAAATTTGCCCTCCTGCCCTGGCCCCAGGAAGCCCCTGCTCTTGAGACAGGCAGTGTCGCCCAGCCCTCCCTGCCCTCACCCCTCTGCCACCCACACTGAGAGCAGCCCCAGAGCCCAACGGTTGCTCTGGGCACCAACTGCCAGGCACCGGGTTGCCATGGCAACAGAGGTGGCTAGGAGGGGGAGGGGTGCCCCACCCCTGCAGGCGGGGACCTCACTGTTTGTGCTTTGTTGGATGTTGGGTAGGGGTCAGAAAGGGGGCGTGGCCATTTCCATGGAAACACGGGAGCCCCTCCAGCCAGGGGGTGAGGCAGGGATGGGCCACCAAGATAGGTGGGTGGGAAAGCCCTCCTGCCCCTGGGCAGGCTGGGACCTGCCCGAGATACCAGGATGTGGGGCCCAGGCAGCGAGTCCCCATTACAGCCGCCCCTGCCCCCCACCCCGCATCACAGTGCACTGCTGCCCTTCTGGGGTGGGTAGGGGTCTCGGAGGACCAGGGAAGCTGGGGGCTGGGGTGCGGGGGCCTGCACCTGAGATGCCGTGGGAGCCGGCCTGCTCACCACACACCCCTCTCCTCAGACCCCACAGACCACTCCCCAGGCCCCCTGGAAGACACTTGAAGGGGGTTGATGGGATGTCCCTTTGCCTGGGCTCCTTTTCTGTCAGCAGGACCCCTCTCCTCTCCCAGGGCCCCCAGGACTAGGAATCACAGCTCTACACTCTGAGCACTGCTGTAGGGCTTTCTAGAAAGGAAAAGCACCTGCCTGATTCTCAAGTCCCTCAGCCCCAGGAGACCACAGCTTCGGAAGAGGGTGGTGGGAGGATGGGGGGCACAGGGAGCTGCTGGGGTCCGAGGACAGCTCTGGGCCTAACTTCCTGCAGGACCCGGGGTTCACACTTCCTTCCCTGGGCCTCAGTTTCCCCACCCCTAAGTGGAGGGAAATGATGCCCGATGTTTATCTGGTGCCCAATCTAAAAGTGACCCATCCCCCAGCTGGGGGCCTCTCCTGCCCCAGAGGGGCTTCGGTCTCTCTCTACTCCAGTCTCTTTGGGCCCCAAACCTGGCCCTAGCCCCAGACCCGACACCCTCTTCTGGCTTCCTTGCTTATCCACCACCGCCCCCCAGCCCCGCACACCCCAGCAGAGTCCCTGGGCAGCACAGTAAAGACGACTGGTTTCGGTATCAGTTTGTAAACTTTAAGGAAAATGTGTCTTTGTTTTCCTGTCCGTTATTGTCGGATGTTGGTTTGTTCACAGTCAGGTGGTGGTCAGGTGTGTGCATGGTGCGTGCGTGCGGGTGTGCGTGTGCGTCCCCTTCTCGGCCCCGGCCCCCGGTCTGCCCCGCCCCGGCCGCCCGGGCCCTTCCCCCAGCGGCCTACCCCTCCAGCTGCGACCTCACCGGGGAGAAGAGGGTCACAGCTTCTGCTGGGCTGAGACCCCTTTCCAGTAATCGAGGATGTCGTGCAGGTCCTCGTCCTTGGCGAACTGGACCTTCTTGCGCAGGGCGTGGCCAGCGGCCATGTACACCTCCTCCCGGTGGTGCTTCTTGTAGGGCCGGAAGCGCTCCCAGATCTTGTGCGTGCTCTCAGATGAGTACTCGGGGCTGGAGGAGTACCCTGAGTAGTAGTGTCTGGGGGAGAGCTGTGAGTAGGTGGAGTCACGCTTGGAGCGGGTCAGCGGCTTGAGGAAGGACACGCGCTGGCTCAGGCTGTCGGCGCCCTCCTCGTAGTACAGCGCGGGGAAGCTGTGCCGGTGCTCGCTGCAGTGGTAGGCCGGCTTCACCTCCAGGTGGTGGACGCCCCCGCCCCCACTGCTGCCCCCGCTGCTGCCCGCGGACACCAGCGGCAGCCGGTCCAGCGGGCTGTTGAGGGGACTGCCCTTCTCGATGTACTTGGAGTCAGCCTTGACCAGCCCCGGGGTGGCTGGGTGGTCAGGCACGTCCAGGCTGAAGACCTTGGCGCTCTTGATGGAGCCGCTGGACGACACGCTGCAGGTCTTGCGGCTGACGGCGGCATCAGCGCTCAGCTGGCGCTGCAGCGGGTGGTGGGAGCTCTCCTTGTACGGGGGCGAGAGGAAGCTGGGCAGCTCCAGCGCCGCAGGGGCAGCAGCCGAGGAGGTGGCAGTGGCTGCAGGGAGGGACTGGCACTCAAAGGCCAGCTCGGGCTCCCCACCACCGCCGCTGCCCCCTAGGAAAGAGGCTGAGTCCAGCTTGAGGGCATCGATGCAATTGTTGATGATCTGGTTGACCTTGTCCACCTCCTTGGCAATGGTGGAGATCTCCGCGGCCGAGCCCTGGTTCTCAAGGTCCGGGAGGTTGTCCTCAGGCCGAGGCAGGCCGTCCCCGGCCGCGCCCGTGCGCACCTCGATATAGTTGCCTTTGGTGGCCATCTTGGGCGTGTCCAGCCCGGCCTCCAGCCCCTTGGCGGCGGGCAGCTTCTCCCCGATCATGGAGGGGATGGAGGACATGCGGGACACGGGCAGTACAGGGGGCTCGCCCAGCTTCTGGGCGGCGTGCACGATGGGGCCAGCGTCCACGTCGGCCCCATAGCGCATCTCCAGGATGGTTTTCTTGACGTTGACGGACTTCTGCTTCTCCTCCTGCATGCGCCGCTTGCGCAGGCAGTAGTAAACTGCCCCCAGCACGATGACCATGCCGAAGAGGCAGCCCAGGATGGTCATGATGTAGTGGGTGGTGGTGGAGGTGCTGGGGGCCAGGTCGCCCGGCACGGGGTCCCGCGTGGTGAAGGTCAGGCAAGTGTGGTTGAAGCGGCGGCTGTTGCGCAGCGAGGTCACGCAGAAGGTGTACTCAGTGTGCGCCCGCAGCTTGTCCAGCGTCACGATCTCCTTCTTGTTCTTGAGCGTCATGACGTCGGAGAAGTAGCTGTTGTTGTACTGGACCAGGACGTACATCTTGCTGTAGGGGTGTGGGATGATGACCACCAGGGTGGCCGAGGTGAAGGTGACATGGTGCAGCTTGATGGCGGGCCCCGTGGACGCATCCGTGGTGGACGAGGCCGGTGGCTCCACCGAAAGGATGTCGTCGGGGCTGAAGCCCGAGTTCTCGTCGGGCTCCCTCTGGGTGTCGGTGGAGTAGGGCGTGGGGTGGCTCACAGCCCGGGCGGGCAGCGAGCCGTTGCGGCACTTGGCCTGGAGCACGGTGATGGCGTTGAGGCTGTGGTAGGGCCTGGGCACCAGCAGCGGGTAGCCGGCAAACTCCCGCGGCGACTCGCACTGCAGGCGGTCGTAGTTCTTGGTGACGTTGTTGAAGACCACGAGCCAGGCCAGGAAGCCGAACAGGTCGCACTCGCAGTTGAAGGGGTTGCCGGCCAGCTCGCACACCATCAGGCTGGCCAGGCTGGCGAAGGTGGCACCGTCCAGGCGGCTGAGGCGGTTGGAGGACAGGTCGATGCTGATGAGGCTCGGGCACTCGGAGAAGGCGGTGGGCGTGACCACCTCGATGAGGTTGTGCTGCACGAAGAGGAACTGCAGGCGGCTCATGCCGCGCAGCATGCCCTCCGTCAGGTTGCTGAGCTTGTTGTAGCCCAGCTGCAGGACCTGCAGGCTCGACTGGCCCAGGAAGGCGCCGTCCTCGATGTAGGAGATCTCGTTCTTGGTGAGGTTGAGGTCGGTGAGGTTCCCGAAGCGGTTGAGCGAGGAGTAGAGCACGGCCTTGAGCTTGTTCTCGTTGAGCCGCAGGTCGTGCACGGTGCTGTTGATGTGCTGCGGGATGGTCTCGTAGGGCGGCTGGTTCTGGCTGCAGATGGCCAGCCACACGTAGCCCTTGTCGCCCTCAATGAGCCAGCAGTCGGCGCGCACGGTGCCCGGCCGGCACACGCACAGCAGCGCCGCCGCACACAGCCCCAGGCGCAGCATGGCGCTGGCCTCGCCCCCCCGACGGCCGGGCTCAGGGTGAGGGGCCGGGACGCTGGGGGCCTAGTGGCTGGAGGCTGGGGCTGGCAGCACAGTCCTCCCCGGGGCCGCCACCATCTTGGGGGCGACCCCCAGCACAGGGGCCCCAGGCGAGGCGGGCACGGCCAGTGCCAACTGCTGGGGGCCTCCTGGGGTGCTGGAGCAGGTGACCCAGGAGGGACAGAGGCCTTGTCTCCTGCTGGGAAGTAGCACAGCTTCTCGGGGCTTGACTTCCTGTCCCTCTTCCTCCGCTTCCTCCTTGGCTTCTGGGCTCAGAGCTTCAGACGATTCCCACAGGAGGCTGGAGCGTGCAGCACTGAGGGGGAGCGAGAGAGACGGGGGCAGGAAGGGAGAGACCCATCGGCACCTGGTTCCTGAAAGGCAGCACCAAGAGGGGGCCCGGGTCAGTGCAGGGCTCAGGGCAGCCCCTTCAAGCTCCAGCACAGGCCTCAGTCCCTTCTCCACACCCTGTCCCGGGGCCTCTGTGCCAGCGAGCACTCTGGGGTCCCTGTTACATAAAAGAAGGGAGGGCTGGTGGGTGGCAAGAGGGGGAGGGGGCCCGGGGGGCTGGGAGGAGAGACAAGGAATGGCATGGAGTGGGGACAGGGTCTGAGGACCAGGCAGGGAAGGGACCCTGGAGAGGAACAGGTGGGCACAGGTACACACACTGGCACGCAAGCCCGGCACACTGGAGGCTGCACTCGTCCACTGGCTCGCACAAAGACCACACGCCCCCACGTGAGCCAGAACCCCACGGCACGCACACATGGACAGGTACGCACACGAGCACACCCACACTCTGCACACGGCAGGCAGGCCTGTACACACATGTCCACGTACCCAAGTGGACACCCCCAAATCCAGATAAAGGATTAAGCAGCCCAGCAAAATGCCTCCTTTCCTCCATGCCCAAAGATAAATAATTCATTTGTTGTGTAACTGCTCTTGTTCCAAAAATAATTCCCTTGTCTCAGCTTCCATGGGGGAGGGGGAGAAGAGCATCTCGGCTGTGGGCCCCTCCAAGCTGGGGGAGGCAGAGGCCAGGGTCTCCTGCAGGGGGAGGGCCTGGGAGAGCTCATCCCACAGGAGAGCAGAGCCCAGGGAAAGAGGGGACAAGAGCCCGGGAAACCAGAGGCACTCCCAGTAGCATCTCCCAAAAGTGCTTTCCCAAGGAGCACCTGGCTGCTGTAGGGGGGCCTCAGGCCTCTGGAACAGAATGGCTGAAGCCCCACATCCCTTTCCATGGCTGGAGAGTCAGAGGCCCAGAGAGGGACAGGGAGTTGCTCCAAGTAACACAGCACAGCCTGGGCCAGGATCAAGGCTCCCAAACCACGTGAGCCCAAGCCAGGAGTCAGGAGGCCCGGAGCCCGACCAGCGCGCCGACCAGCCAGGTAAACATACCACCTCTCTGAGTCTATTTCCGCATCTGTAAAGTGGAGGCCAGGTTCTTGTCCAGCCCATCTGACGGGGAAAAAACAGGTGACTCATGCTGCCCATCCCCAAAATGCAGAGGGGGCATGGGTCACAGCTCACAGACCATCTCATCAACCCTCACCTTCTAAGTGGGGAAACTGAGCCCCAGGCCCAGGGGAGACTCGCCCAGGTTGCCCAGCAGGCTGGACACAGCTGCTTGACCAGAACCCAGCCCCAGCCGCCCCCCTGTGCTCTCGACTACAGAGATCCCAGTGCTCCGCCCTTTGCCCCAGGCAGGGGCCAGGGATGTGAAGATGAGGCCTGAGAAATCCACATTTGGACAGAGAAAGCTGGAGACTGTTCACAAGTGCCACCTCCGCCTCCTGCTCCTCCTCCTGGGAAACTCCAGGAAAGAGAGTGCTTGGAAAAAAATTCCGAACCTTTGCCGTGAAAGCAAAACCAATTTACAGCACTGAGCTCCAGAGGGTTGGAACAGAGGGAAGGAAAGCGGGGTGGGGGAAGAAGCCGGAGGAAGTCCAAGGCAAGCTGTTTCTGCCAAGGAGGTGGCAGATGAGCAGAGCATCTAGATGACCCACTGGGACCTTCGAGTCTGCCTCTCACCTCCTGGTGCCCTGCACGACCAGCTCGGGGGGTGGCGGAGGCAGCCGGGCAGGAAGGGGAGCCCAGGCAGCAAACAGCATTCTGTCCTTGGCTGTGCCAGGCAAAGGTCTCAGGGCTGGAGACAGGTCTCAGCTCCTGTCCAACATGGCCTGCTGGCTCCTGGGGACCCTAGGCCACTTCTGCCCCTCTCTGGACCGCAGCTTCCCCTCCCACAGGCCAAAAGGCTGCACTGGAGGAGGCTGAGCCTCTACGCTCGCTGCTTCAGGGACGCGTGAGCCGGCCTGTCAGAGAGCCCTGTCTGCTCCAGTGCGGCCCCTCCTCCCCGCCAGGGAATGTCCGGGGACTGCATTTGTATGCAGGTGCACACGCAGGTGGCTCAGCGTGCCGGTGCAGGGGTGTGCTGACGCGTACGAGCAGGCAATGTGCAGCAGGCGCGTGTGCACACGTATGTGCAGTGCACGTCCTGTGCACCAGCTACAGGAACACATGCTCGCGTGTGGAGGAGCGGGAACATGTGTGTCGGGGGCACACCAGGGAACACAGGCACCCACCTATACCATAGTTGACATGTTTAAGCACACGTGTGTTGCACATGCATGTCTGTGTGCATATGTGCTCCCACCTCCAGCCCCCTCCTCAGATCGGAGTTGCTCAGACCACCAGCCAGGCCTCCTCAGCCAGGCCCCGTGCTGGGAGACCAAGCTGGCAGGGGCCTTGGGAGAGCCGGGCCCTGCCGGGGTGCAAGGTGGCCCAGGGCAGAGGGACAGGGGCAGGAGAAGGGGCCCAGGCTGCCAGGCCTCCCCAGCCCTGCCTTGCCCAAATGGCCCAGGGTAGGACCCTCTGTGCCCCCACCCAGCCACTCTGAGCTCTGCCACCTGAGCCCTCAAGGTGACCCTGCCCCTGGCCCTCTCTCCTCTTCCTTGTGGTTCCCAGGATGCCTTGGGCCACGGCCCAGCTCCCACTCTCCCCTGTGACTCAGACCAAGGAGGGGAGAAGGTTTCCATCACCCTGTCCCGAGTGCGTCAGCCGCCCTGTCCCCGTCCCCGGGCTGCCTGCCTGCAGCCCGTCGAGGCTTGACACAGCCCGGGAGGGGAAGCAGAGGTCGAGAAGGTGCTGACAGCAGCACTTGGCCCCCACCCAGCCGCTCACCCACTCACGGAGTGGGCAGGGGGGCGCCAGCCCGGTGTTCTCAGGCCTGGGGTCCCAGGGACCAAATGGGCAAAGTCACACCCTCCCCCTCCTCCCATGAGGGTGATCCTCCCACACACAGGCACCACCCCACACCCCAGGGCTGACACACAGGGATGGAGAGGAGCTGAGCGCTGAGGACAGGACAGCAACACTACGGCCAGCGAGCAGGAGCGGCAGAGCAAGGGAGAGATAGAGGACTCGCCCAAGGTCGAGGAACCGATCGCAGTGACACACATGACAGACGGGGTGAGGGACATGGACACCTGCTGCCCTCAGCCCCCCAGGGGCCAGGGAGACAGATGACACCGGGTCTGGCTGAGCCACCGAGATGCAGCCTGTGACCAGCCCAGAGGGAGCAGGGGGCAGGAGCAGCTGTTGCGAGCAGAGGCCTTTTCCGCGCAGGGCCTCAGTGGCACCAGCCCACGCCACGCAGCCGGGGAGGGGCACAGCCATGCAGGAAGCAGGTGTTTGCGGGTGCCGTGTTCCCGACCTCATAGCAGTGCCCCCGGCTGCCCCGGCCTCACCAGACCCTGCCCCCACTGCAAGAGCCTGTACCCCTGACAAGTGCCAAGTGCCCACCAGCACCACTCTTAAGGGTCCCTCTCCTTCCACCACAGAAAAAAGGAATGTGGCAAGCCCAGGGGGCATCATGGTATCCAGGAATCTCCCGCAGGTCCCTGGTCTGCTGGCTACACACTGTAGGATGTCCCCTCTTACAGGGGCGTCCTTGGGCAGAGCAGAGGGAGAGGAGTCAGTGAAGCCCAGCAGGCACTTGCTGCTCTGAGAACAAAGCTGGGCACACGCTCCTGGGTCACTCTGGGCAGATGCCACCCTCTCCAGGCCTCCGGTCACAATCAGCTGCCAGTAGCTCCAGTTGGTTTTGTGCCCTTCCCGCCCAGGTGCCACAGGTTCCCTGGCCCATCTGTGGACTCAGAATCCTGAAGTCCCAGAGCTGGAGCCCCTCTCAGAGGGGAAACTGAGGGCAGGACAGAGGGAGGGTCCTACACCAAGTTGGTAGCAGCTCAGGCTCAGGACCCAGGTGCCAGTGACAGATCCTGATCTGCCAACTCCAAGTCCCTTCCGGGATCTTACCATGTCCCAACAAGGGCTTCGCTGCCAGCCAACCTGGGACACCAGGCCTAGGCCTCAGTTTCCTCACCAGGAAGGGGGTGAGCTGTGAGGGTGCAGTGAGCTCTGGTGCACGAAGTGCCAAGCTCGGTGCTGGGCTCTGCGAAGGGCAGCTGTTGTCGGTGTGGGTTTTGTCGCTATTACTTCACAACCTTTTTCACCCGCACTGAACCCTGGGGTCACATCCCCCCATGTCCCCCACTACCGGCTGCCCACCAAGCTCCCTAGCCAGAGGGGAGGCCTGGCCTCTCCGCCCCCAGGAGAGCCCTCCCTGCACCGTGGAGTGTGGAGGGCTCCGTGGCTCGGCCGCTCCCCGGCTGGGGGAGAGCATGGACGGAGCGAGGTGGGGTGGATGAGAGCCGGAGATGTGGGCAGCGAGGTCAGCAGGGACAACGTGGCCTGACCAGCTCTGAGACCGTGTTTGAGTCTCAGACAGGCCCTCTCTGAGCCTCAGTTTCTCCCCATGTGACAAGGTGAGAGCCACCCAGGGCTCCTACAAAACCCTAAGGCACGGTGGAGGCCAACACACTCTGTGCAGAGCAGGAGGACCCACAAATGCACCGCCCTGGGCTCCTGCTCATACAGCCACACTCCTTCGGTGACACAGGTCAGCTCCGGGGAGAGGGTGAGGGAGGTACAGTCTGTATCCGGCCTCCCAGGAGCAGGGACGTGAGGCTCAGCCGGGGAAATCTCATTTGCAGCAGCTGATAGGCCCTGGCACAGGCTCTTCCCTGGGCCAGGCTGGCCCAGGCTCCCCGAGGTGTCATTGTCACTGGCTGTATCAATGCCATTACCCAGGATTAGGAAGACCGGGGACTCCTGGGGTCCAGCCAGCACTCTCGGGCAGGCAGCGCCTCACCTCTCTGTTGGAAATGCAGCACCAGGCCAGCGGGCCCAGAGACCACTCTGGCCTCAGGGACAAAGCCTGCCACCCCCTTGGGGCAGAGACCCAGGCCAGGGGGCTAGGCACTAGGTCTTGCTGCTGCCTCCACCTCACTGGGGTTCCTGGGCAGGCTGCCCTGGGCCTCAGTTTCTCATCTGTAAAATGGGATAATTATACCTTGGCTGCTGATCTACCCTTTGGTAAGTTAACCATTTGTATTTCAATCAGGCCCAGCTGCAGGGCAGGGACTTTGAGGGCAAAGAGTCCTGGGATTGGATGCTGAGCTGTGTGACATCGGGCACATTAAGGAGCCTCTCTGGCCTGTTTGTGTCTGATATCTCATGCCCCTTAAATCTCATATCAACCCTGCAGGCTGGTGCTCTTAGCCCATTGCACAGATAAGAAAACTGGGGCCTCTGCTTTCACAGAGCTCTCCAGAGGGCTGGGCCACAGCAGGACCGGCCATGCACTGGCCATCTGGTGGGTTTCTTGCCCTCCCTATCAGAGAAACGTGTGAAAGCCCGAGCAAGCCTGGAGACACTCCGACTCCTCCGTGGGTCAGAAGTCCTGATTCCAGGCCAGCTGTGCTCCTCAGCCCTCGGCACACCCCACCTCAGGCCTTTGCACGTGCTGTTCTCCCTGCCTGAATGCTCTTCCCCCAGCATCCCCACAGCCCACTGCGGGCTCTCCATTCAGTTCTCTGCTCAACTGCTCCCACCCCACCCCCTTCCCTGCCACCACATCTACTCACCCGTCACCCGACCCTGGCTTTGGTCCCCTCGCAGCACTCCACACGGACATGATTTAGTCCTTCCTCATCACCCCCTCTTAGCCCACCCCCAGCGTGAAAGCAAAGCAGGACCTGGTCTTGCTCAGTGCTGTCACCCCGCGCCCAGAGCACAGTCGGACACAGCGGTGCTCGGCACGCGGTGTGCAATGAGAGCTCAGGCTGGGGATGGGGGAGGCCCTGGAGTCCCCGCCAGCCCCGAGTCAGGGTGTTAGGTATCAGAAGAGGACCCCCATGGGGTGCTCATGCCATGGCAAGAAACACACCGAGCCTCCCTGTTAGCCGCATGACCCTCTTAGGCCTCCCAATTTACAGACGAGGAACTGAGGCTCAGAGAGGTGCAGTGACGTGCCCAATACCACACAGCCAGGAGCCCCGGCCAGCCTGAGCTCTTGGCACCACCAGGCTCTGTAGGATCCGTGCAGAGATGACCTCCCACGACTTGCAGACATCCTGTGGCAGGGCTCAGCGCCCACCGGAAGCTACTATTCCCTTCCTGAACAGCTCTGATTGCTGGAAACTTCTATCACAAAGCCAATTCTGGCTCCTTATGCCTCTGTTCATAAGTCCCAACTTGCTGCCTGGAGCCACTGGGGACAAGGCCTATACCCCACAAAGGCCCTTCCGATACCTGCTGATCTGTCATCACGCCACTTACCCAAGCTGAACAGTCCCATGTCCTCCACCTGCTCTTCCTGTGCCAGGTGTCGGGTCCCTCCCACCCTTGGGTGCAGCTGCCCCAGGTCCAGCTGGCTGTCAAGGTCCCTCTTACAACGTGTCACCTGCATCAGCCTAACACGGCCGGCGAGGATCGCACCAGAGGCCCTCCAGCGCCCGGCTCCTGTTGACGTGGCCAGGTGTGCGCCGGCGCTGTGTCCTCACCTTGTCCTAGATGCCAACCAAAGCCCCAGGCCCCTTCACACACACTGCCGGGCAGCCCGGGCACCCGCGCCCGGCCTCGGCAGCTCTGGGCAGTGCCTGCTCAGGTCTCACCCGAGGTGCCGGGTTTCATCCACCCCATTCAATCATGTCTCGTTAGCCTCAGCCCTGCACGCCAGCTGCTCGGCGTCAGGGAGCCGGCTCCTGCCCCTCACTGCCTCCGCGCCCGCTCCCTGCCCCGTGTCGTCCTGCCCCGGGGCCACGGCTGTGCCTGCGCCACAGGGAAATGAGGACCAGGCCCGGGCCAGGGAGCACGACCCGGGCTAGGCGGGCACGCTGACGCCAGCTGCACTCTCGCCCGCATTCCTTCACATCCCACGTGCATTTATTGCACACCTACTACGTGCCCTGCACTGCAGCCTCGCACTCACCTTGCCCTCACCATCTCACTCAAAAGCGCTTAGCGAGAACAACGCACCCATGGCAGCAGGGCTGGCGCCGGTGCGGGCTGAGTGGGCCGGCGCGGCCTTGGTGCACTGAGCACACGCCGGGGCCCACAGCCTCGGCCAAGGAGGGGCGCGGCCTCCCACACGCCGCAGGCCACCGCAGCAGGAGCCGCGGTTCTGACTCAGACACGCTTGACTGGCTCACTGTGGGGCCTTGGGCAAATCAGTGCCTCCCCTCTCTGGGCCTCAGTTTCCTCATCTGTTTGGAGGAAGACAGCAGTGCACCAGTGTCTCTCTGCTTTGCTGGGGCTGCCCCAAAGCCCTGCCAACTGCCCACTGTGTCACCCCAATGACACCTGGTCCCTGTCCGTCCCTGCTCCCAGGGCGCCCCATCCGTCCTACTCCGTGTCCAGGCCTCAGCAGAAGGAGAGGCAGAGGTGGAGGGTTTCACCAAAGGCCTTGGCCTTGGGAACCCACCCACGGCCTGATGGGAGTGGCCCGGCCTGGGTGCTGTGGGCAGCTCCAGCCACCCAGCCCCTCACTGGCACCCCCGCCCCACCCACCCTCTGCCAGGCACCTAGGGACAGCACATGGCCCACGACCAGGGATGACCTGCGTTAAAATCCACCTCCTGGCATCACCCAGCGGTCATCTCCTGGCTTTCCCAGAATCCTCCAGGCTATTCAGGGGACCCCGCCCTCACCCCTTCTCCCCCACCTGGCCCTCACCTCTCCTCCCCTGGGCCCCACCTCTGCCACTGACTCTGACTCCCTCATCTGACCCCTGCCCTCCCCAGCTGACCCACCTCCCCGCCTGACCCCACCTCCCCACCTGACCCCACCTCCCCACTTGACCCCTGCCCTTGTCCCACCTGGCCCACCTCCCCGCCTGACCCCTGCCCTCTCCCCACCTGGCCTTCACCGCCCCCACTCAGCTGCGCCCCTGGGCACTACTCACCAGTCTCCACTGGACCCGCCTTCACCAGGGCCTGCGCACGCGCGGCCGCCTCTGCCTGCACGGCCTCCATTCATTCATTCAATAAACATTTATGGAGCACCTACTATGTACCAGGCACCGGCTAGGCCCGCCCTCCCGGCTCTGCCTCCTCCGCCTGTTCCTCCCCCAGGGTCCCAAGGGGAGAACTTTTCCCTGCCTTCTAACACCCTCGGGGCTGTCCCAAGGCAGGGGCAGCACATTTGCGGGCCCCACGGGTGGAGGCTCTGGGTGGCAGGAAGTGCAGCCCTCTGAGAGGTCGCCTGGCAGGGGAGGGACGGCAGCCTCGGGCAAGGTGAAGCGTCACTGGTGCCCACACGGGCTGGGCCTAAGCACTTCTCACGTAATGGTCAGCACAACCTGTGAGTCCGGGCTGTTATTCCCACTTTGCAGATGAGGAAACTGAGGTCTCACAACTGCTACGCAATGGCTCTCACCCTCCCTGGCGCCAGAGAGGAGAGATGCTGTGGGATCTTGCTTTATCTGGGCAGTGGTCTTAATTTTTTTTAATTAGCTGCCAATATTGCAAACTTGGGAGGTGGATTATTTCAAAAGTCCCATCTCTGAGATCTGACAAACCTGGAAGATCTAGCTGACCTGGGTTTGCCTCCCTGCCTCTCTGGCGTGGCGGCCCGCTGACCCTCCGCTGAAGTCTGTGAGGCCAGCGACAAGAGAGAACCCCAGCTTGCATGGGGGGACCCCATTAGCCTCTCAGTCTGGGACCCCAGGGTGCCACTCGACCCCTGCCCAAACCCACAGCCCCGCCTACCCTGCCTGGTCTGCGGCTCTGGGTTTTTGGCTCTAGGATACTAACATCCTAGATCCGTTGTTTTGAGGGCTCTCCAATTATGAGTCTGGGGCTCAGGGTTTTAGAATGTATCTGCAATTTGGTCCCCAAATCCACTGAGTCTGGGCCTCTATGAGCCACCAACTCTACCAGACTTTAAGCTGCCCTGACCCACCGACAGCTTCCCCTCAGCTCCAGACAGGCCACCGGGGAGGGGCCCAAAGCCAAGGGAGCAGCTGCAGGGCCTCCCCGGCCCGCCCGTCACCCTGTGAGGCCCACTGCTCCTCTTGCCCCCGAAAACCCTACTGGCTCATGTTTTGCTGGAATTTGAGGGTCACTCTCCCCCAAACGTGATTCTCACCCCACAAAACTCTGCCGGGTTCTGGTCAAGGCTGCTGGGGACCCCAAGAGGCCGGAGGCCTTGGCTCCTGAAGCCACAGCGCAGCTCACCGTGGAGGAGAGCCTGCGCCGAGGGCTCGTGGGATGGCGCCTTGCCTCCACCCTTCTCCTCGCAGACGCCGGGCCCCCTTGCACTGCTCACCTGGGACTCCTGACTGCCACCCCACCTCCTGCCTCGACCGGGCCTCCACCAGGGCCCTGGAGCCCTCCGGGGCCAGGCTGAGAAACCCCTCCCTGGGCCACAACCTTGAATCAGGCGGTCAGAAGGGGCAGTACAGATGCTGCCCGGGATGGGCCGAAATTCCCTCTCCTGGCCCCGAGACCCGCTCCTCTGGAGCAGGTCGGGGAGGCCAGCCCAGACTGAAGGATGCCTCGAGGCCGTGGGGCCTGCAGCTGCAGCCGGGAAACAAAGGAGGCTGTGTCAGTGCTGAGGGGCTGACATGGAGCCCCGGAAACGCCCGGGGGAGGGCCGCCCCATGACTGCCGGCTGGGCAGAAACCACGGCCCTGACGTGTGGCTAAGTGACAGCTCCCATGTCCACTGACTCAATGTGGCCGACCCACCAAGACCAGCCCTCCTGGAAGGGCAGGAGCCACGTTCAGCTCAAATCCAGGCTCTGCCACTTAACGCCATGGTCCTGCAAGCCACTGCTTTCCTCTGAGTCTCAGTTTCCTCTTCTGTAAAATGGGGCGAGAAGGGCACCACCTCACAGGGCCGTGGAGGGAAGAGCCACCGCGCAGGGTCGGGGGCAGGGCGACTGCTCGGTAGAGTGGGCTGCCGCACGTGGCCTGGCTCGTGGAGCGTGGCCGTGCCGGGCACACAGTAGGGCCTCACCGCCCACTGCCGCAGCAAAAACAGCAAGGCCTGGCCTGACAGCGCCTGCCTTTCAGTCCCGGGGACAGCGCACCCCTCTGCCCCGTCCCTGTCCCCTCTCTAGGGCCAGGCGCCCCGAAGGCCTGCTCCCATCCACCTGCAGCCTGTCCCCGGCCTCGGTTTCTCTCCCATTGCCAAAGCACAATGGCTTTATAATTAACGAATTATCTCAGTGCGACAGCTGTGGTCCTTTGAAAATTAGGTTGAATAACAAGATCCTGGTGTATGGTAATTTCTTTTCCTCTCTTTCTCCCCCTTTCTCTCTCCCTCGCTTCAGCCTTGCTGTGCATGCAAATGTTCCTCCCTTCTCCTCCATCCAGCACCTTCCTCTTCTGTGGCTGCTGCTCCTCCCCAGGACAGCAAAGGCACAGACTAAGGTTCTGCCTTCCAGGGAAAAGGGGCGGGGGCTGACCCTCTGAGCCCTTCCCAGGTGGCAGGCACTGGGCAAGGCACCTGGCACGTGTGACTTCTGTCATCTCTGGTGGACCTCAGCCCTGCCGCTCCCTCCGGGTCTGGGGACCTCCCAGGCCACGCCACGCCCCCTTGCACTTAAGCAGTGGCCTTCCCTGAGGCCCTGGTCCTGCTCGCCCCCACCCCCACCCCAGGAGTATCTGGGCCCCTTCCGAGGCTACTAATACCAGCGTTGAGCTGACCACAGCCAACCAGCATGCCCGGCTGCCTCCTGCACCCCTCTCTGGCACCTGTAACTCCGCCTGTCCGTGTCCACGACTGGATTCATCCCCTCCCCGCCCGCCCTTCCCCGCTTCTCTCCTGGTTCCCAGACCCAGTGACAGGCGTCCCAGCCCGCCAGGCTCTCCCCAGTGGGGGCTCCATGCCACTGTCCCCACTGCCCGTGCTCTGCTTCAGCCTCCTTCCTCCCCCAAAATGCGTTTCTCAGACAGCACCCTCACTGGTCTCTCTACCTGCAATCCTATTGCCCCGTTCCGTCCACCCTCCACCCAGCAGAGGATGAGCTTTCTAGAACATAAATCTGAGCGTGGCACTCCCCTGCCGAAAAGCCTTCGTTGGCTCCCAGCTGATCTGGGAAAATTCCAAAGACATCCAGAGCCCAGCCCACGTGGTCCTGCGGGAGCAGGAGCCTGCTCTCCTCTCCTGCCCTCCTGCCTCGCCCCACCTGGCTGGGGCCTGTCCCATGGGCCCCCACAGCCCTTGGGCTTCCTCCGTCACTACCAGAATCCTAGCCGCTGCTTTCACCCCTCAACTGCTTCTCCCTCAGCACCAGGCACCTAGCAGGTGCTCAATAAATATCTGCTAACGACTGGATAAAGGAGGCCTGCTCACTCCTTTACAGATAAGGAAGCCGAGGCTCAGAGTAACTAATGACTTGCTCAAGATCACACAGCTCATGCAGACAAAACTAGGATTTGAACCTAGGTCTGTGACCCAATGCCAGTCTTCCCACTGCCTGGGGAGGGCTGTGGGGGGACAGCTTTTGCACAGATCTCAGGGAACTTGAACCTCCCTCCAGCCTTAGTTGGATGATAAGGAGAAAGGCTCCCAGCCCAGGCTGTTGCTCCTTTGACTTTGACCTTGGACTAGCCACATGACTCTCGGGGCCTCAATCTGCTCATCTGTAAAGTGGGAAGGAGCCCCACCTCATGCCTCATCTCACAGGCAGTTGCCAGGGCAGAACCTCAGAAACTCTTGGAGAAAGCCAGTCCCGCTAACATCCGGGGATTTTCCTATGCTCATGCTCCAAACCCAACCGAGCTGCCCTCGGCAGGCACTCCCCAGGGCTTCAGGGAGGGTCCCCAGGATGGGAGAGGTCACACAGAACAGGGACCCCCTCAACAAGAGGTAACAGGAGAAGCAGGGGGAATTTGGGGGTCAGATCATAACCTTGGGCAAGAAGCTTCTCTCTCTGAGCCTCTTCTGTGTCCTCTTCTGTGAATTGGGCCCATTAATGCCCCGTGATGGGGGCGCACGATGAGGACCAATGTGGAAAGTGCCTAGCACAGTGCGGACACCACCATGGCCACGTGGCTGCAAGGTTCACAGGAACATGATCCCGAAGTGCACCCCAGGGAGAGCGGGAAGAAAAGTGGGTTGCACAGAGCAGGACCCTCTGTTCCTGACTCTCCCTCCTCAACAGCCCACAGTGGCTCCCACTGGCCCCAGAATAGAGCCCACACCCTGACGTGTGGCCCTTGAACCCTTCTCTCCCTAAGCTTACAGCCCCCCACGTCCCCTCACAGCTCTATGGAATTCAGGGATGCCACCCACATGTCCTCCAGACCTGTGCTCATGCTGTTCCTAAGCCTGGGAGCCATTCCCACCTGCGCACACCTGCTGGGGCCCAGACCTGACACCTCCTCCTCTGAGAAGCCTTCCAAGACTTGCCTTCATCAGGGACAGTGATGGGCTCCCTGCTCTGCCCCCACCCCTGATGCATGGCCCATGAAATCCTGGAAGGG